CCCCACCAGGCAGAGGGATAAGCACGCCTCAGCCCGCTGGTAAGGGATGTGGGTACCTTCCTAGCGGCTGTGAATCAGCCCAGCAATATGACTGATGTCTGATGGATGCGGATCAGGGCCAGCAAAACACAAAGACCAACAGCTGTGACTCCAGCGTGCAGTGTCTGTTTGTCAGGTAAAAAAAATAAAAATAAATAATAACTGGGTGTGATGTGAGATCTCATATCGTCTGAATGACACAGTAATACATACGTGTACTGTCACTTCAGGCTCACTAAGGAATATAAAGGGAGAACTACTACATCCAATGAAATAGATACAGGGGCAAGAGGAAATAACAGGCAGCCGCCTAAAGCAAAGGGTAGGGCGAGTACAATCAGATCTTCCAGCAGACGGAAGGAGCGTAAAGCCACAGTGACTGCGGTGACAGGGGACGTTTTCTGCGTCAGAAACATTGTCAGCCGTCTGAGAGGGTTGGGATAGTCTGAGAGCCTGAAACTGCTCCATTACCCAGTCACCTCCCGCTTTATGACGGTGACCAAGGGTCAGAGGTACAGGTGTCTGTCCGTATTAACCTGCGCGCATCTTAAGGCTTTTACGCTTCAATATGCATGTACGAGTCTGTAAATCACAGATTACTTTATATAAAGTGACATACACGGCTTACGTTTACTGGCATATTCAGAGTTATACGCGAGTTATCGGGTCGCGTCCTGCTCTCCTGATTTATGACAATTAAAAAAAAAGTCTCTAGCTTGAAAACGGTTTTATGTCTACTGTCTTAAGCAGCCACCTAAACAGGTCTGATTTCATTCCGCAGTATTCCTTATGAAGTTATTCACAGTCTGTTTCTGAGTAATTCGACACTTCTTCACGGCACCGTGAAAAATAAACCTACATTAGCGGCATCTGACACGTTGATGTTATGACAGTAACTTCCCAGTAAACTCTCAACTAAGCAGAAGCGGCCAGGATCAACTTACCGTCGCTATTACACAAGACGGCATGTGTTTCAATGTCCGGCAGAGTCAAAGTGTGCAGGAAAACGAAATATTAATACAAATAGCACAACTCCCAGACAAACAGAAATACCGTAAGGCTCGGAGGCAGTAAGTCAGGCACGGCGGCGGCGGCGCTTCACGGTCTGGCAGCGCGCGCGCTTACGCGTCCTGACGCCGCTCCTTTAAATGGGGCTGGGGGGGGCGAGCGGCTTTTTAAGGTGGACCCCACACCATGGGCTTTCACATGACGTCAGCAGTCCCAAACTTCAACCTGCCCCAGGAAAGAAATTTACAAATCTCCAGATTGAGTATGTCTGCGGAATCACGTGATTTTAAACAAATTCACGTCAGAATTAATAGTAGGCCTATGTACACAACGAACACACCCCATTTGAAGAATGTTTTATATTGTTTAAACAAGAAGGATTAATGGCAGTGATGACTGCGTATTCAGTATCACACTCATTCAAAAATGTGCTGTTTCTGAGGAGTGACACAACAGCCTCCGCTTACAGTGAGCACTTCGGGCACCTTACTAATACAGTCATATTAAACCTGCACAGAAAGATCAAACAACGCACGATGTTTGCTATGCAAAGTGTAACATGACTGAACGCGGTGAGGCGTGTTCACTGACAGATTCAACAATATTTCATAGTGTTGTGCTATTCAACCAAGTAACCAATGGAGAAATTACCCGCGGTACTCGTTAAAAAGAAGTAATGTGGCAAGAGAACTTGGGATGCTAATTACGGGAAAACGATGCAGCCTTTTCCATTCAATTCAATTCAGTTTTTATTGTAATGAACACGTTGTACTGGCACACACACACACACACACACACACACCAGGCAGAGAGAGCTAATTGCGAACATGGGGACAGGGGAGGTAAGGCAATAAACATAGTTTGGACATACATAACATACATTATATGCACGTTATACATAGGCTATACATACACTTTTGTAAATGTATCCTTTTAAAACAAGTTTGTACAGGGATGTTTGTGCTTAAATCCAGTTTGGCAACATAGCTGCAAAATCTCAAGTAAAATTATCATTTAATAAGACGTACGCCTGCCCCCAGAGGCTGTTTACGGGACGTGTATCAAGAGCCTCTCTACTCTCGACATGCAATGTCCGTTCAAAAACTACCGCTCACTATACTAAAACTCATAATGCACGCTGGTTTTAAGGCTTAAGTACCCCGCCAAACAGTTCGATTTCTGCATTGTTGAGAATGATATATAGTAATATTGTGATATAGTAATCGGAGTCAGAAAAGAAATGCAAAAATCCCGACGCCGCATGTTCCCCTCTAATTTCTGCATGAAAAAGCAACAAGCAACAGGAGAGTTAAACCCTTCCGGGACGAAGCTACCAGAGGGGGCGCAGGACGCAGGAGGGAAGCCCCTGACACGACGCTCCTCCAATGAGTTACACTCCCCTGGCGGTTTCAAGGCTCCCCATCCCGGCCGGGACTGCTGTCCGCTTGCGGTCTACTTAACGCGTCTGTCTGGGAGCCCGTCTGTACTTCTAACCCTCTGACTGAGGTCTAGGGAACTTCATATTGTCGCTTTACATGCAGGCTGTAGAAGGGAACTGAGGTGCACTTTTCAGATTGCACGACCTTGCTCTTAGCAATAATGCCTTTCGTTACAGTCTCGTCCCCATCTGTTCCTGGTGCCTTTTAACGTTTATCATAAAGGGACCATGAGAAATTAGGGCACTGTCAATTGATGAAAAGATCTCTGTCCGGACAATCGTAAATTGGACTTTTTAAAGAATCTGTTCTACCTCTTGTGTCTTTTAAGTTATTCAAATAAAAAAAATAAAAAAAATACGGGCAAACTTGGTATAATATTATTTAATATGCTTATTTTGCGCGGCCGGTGTTCTGCCATTCTTTTGCTGCCATAACAGAATTTGCTACTGTAGCAGAAATTTTTAGTTGTATATGTCGGTTTTTGCTATTTTGCCAAAATATCTTACCTATAATTATGAATGGACATTTGTATAAAGATTTATGCTATCAAAATAACTGTCCATTATTTTAAATGGGGGTAACATTTTTACACGTAGTTTCATGCGGTCAGAAACTAATTTTCAGTTTTTTACAACTACTGTAGTTTTATATACCCCATGAGAGGGTGCTCGATGTTTCGCGATCCGAAACACCCAATGACCATGGGGAACATCACTGATGATGTGTCTGAATGCATGGGACAATTCGAATGTGCTGCCAGAAATTGCGACCTATAGTTTTCAGTGCGGTCATAGTTTTTTTTACTCAGAAACGTAATGCCAAGGTGAGAATTTAATGTAAAATTATTTTAGTTCCAGGTAAAACAGAAACGTGTATCTTGTTAGTTATCATTGAAATTACATATTTTTACTTCAATTAAAACAAAGACCGCAAGTACTCTCAACAAACCAAACAGATACACGTGTACCTTCAACTTTAATGTAAAACCTGGTCCCATGCATATTTACGGAATCCATATCCTTACGCCCTTAAGGATACAAATAATATATTAATCATCTGAACTGTATGTAGGAAAGACATATTAACACAATATGAATAACATTTAAAGATAAACCACATTAACACAATTTCTCAGACAACGTAGATGTGGGATACAACGTTCATTTACGCATGCGTCGTAGCGCTCGGAAGCAGTTTTGTTGGGCAGGAAAAAAGGACAGGACAACTGAAACTTACATGCTTTCATCAATATTTATGTACATGAATACAAAGGCTGATTGTCAGCCTGCTGTACTTACATTATAGAAAGAGCTGAGGTGGCGCATCATCACAATAATTGCAGCTATTAAACACTCAAAGTGACCTAATCAAAGCCCACTGAAGCACAGGGAAAGGGCTTCTGACTGAATAAAGCCAGTGGAACCAAGCTGAGCTTCACCTTCAGAGGTCAAGGTGAGGGTCCACTGCAGGGTCACAGCCCCCTGGGCGGCAATACGGTCCAATTAAGGTCACAGTGATTTTTTTAATTAACTCAAGTGGCGGAATCAATCAATTATTCACAAACGCAAAACCCAGGTGATGTATTCGGGTGTGAATCCAGTGCTAATTAAACCGATTCCTACAAATCCCAGCGGTCCAACCTGTGCAGCAGCACTTTCGGCATAATCATTTGTTTACCCTTGTGATTTTCTAACACAAAATGCAACCCTGGCCTATTTTTTGGTGGGGAAAGAGCAGTTTTTAATTCTTGCCCAGATCTGAAATTTTGCACCGTTATCCCGCTCTGAGGTCTATGCAACAAACGGTGCAGCAAAACAAAGGTGAGACGCAGTCACGTATCTGCGTCGCATTCATTATTACAGGCTGACCCTATAGGTATTAATAACCAGCGTGCAGAGCTGGACTGGCCATCTGGCGTACTGGGCAGAAACTGGAACCCAAGCTCCAGGGCCGATTTTTAATCCCTGTTCAGGCCTACCAACATATTATTTCACTATACTGTAAAGCATAATTTAATTCATTTGAAACACTACTAGTGCTGCCCTTAGGCGGCTTGCGCTGTACCCCGTGTACCACAAGCATAGGTTTGTAATATGACTTTTTCCCCGTTACTCGGTGTCGCTATTTAGTTAATATCACAGACCATCTATATAATTAAACCTGTAAAAAAAAATAATTAGCGAGTCGAATCAGATAACGTCTCGCCAGCCGTGCCGCAATACAGGCTCTTCTGAAATAGGATATAATGACGATATCATTTTTAATTATTAAAACGTGACATACCGCATGCCGGTATTAATAAAACTTTCAAACATACTTAAAGCGTGAGATTATCGCTATTGATACATTCCAGTCAGTAATGTGTAAACTATTTAAACTCAATGATGTATTTCAGCAAAAGCAATTTTAACAAATTAACTATGCTGTCTATATGAGGAAACATGCGGGATTTAAATTGCTTTCGGTAATGGCTGCCAGCAAAGGGGGGGTTCTGCCTTGTTGGTGGAAGAGCTTGAGTTTTTTTTTTGCCCGTTTCAAGGTGCCCCCAGAGCGAAGCCAAGCCGACGACCAATCAGATCAAAGCTGCTTTTCTCATTTTATTTAAAGCAACACACGCAGGCCTTTGTTCTGAATGTCACACAGGCGACCCAAAGACATGTGGAGGTACGACTTGAATGAAAGAGAAACGAAACAGATGCTGGGGAGGGAGATATTCAAATGACTGTAAAAATAGAGGTCAAATAGTACTTTGCTTCACGTCTGAGTTATTTCTCAAATTGTGAGCCGCCGAAAACAGTCATGAATGTCCCCGCCACACTCGCCCGTCCAGCTTACTGACTTTAACTGGCGGACGCTTGTAACCGTTTTCTCATGCTCGCATCCTCTTTTTGGGGTACATATACCCTAAAATAAAGTGGATGTGATTTCTGTTAAACAATAATATGCGCTCTATTTGAGTGTAAGCATTTAAGCAGCGTTCATCTTAGATTTCGGAGTCCTACATGTTACTGTTTTAATTTTTCAGTAAGTCTAGCTTTCAAAATTAATTTTAGAACTTTTTGCAGTTATAAAATTCATAAATTACAAAACGATATAAATATCTCAAACTGGAACTTAACGGCAGTATCATAGAGATACTGTCTTAATATATACATGCTGAAATTATCTATGGAAACCTGAATAGATGAATCGAATTCCCTTGGTTTAGGGCAGTAAACCATTCATGTTTACATATAACAGTACATTGAATTCCAGTTGTAATTCTGTAGAGCTCACAGCTTTGTTCTGGAGTCGTGCTACCTTAAAAAAAAGCCGGACACAGCCCGAGCGACGTGGGTGTGTCCCGTGTGCTTGTCCAACGCATCCGATTTGCTGTCGTAAATGACTGACAGCGCGACATGGGCGGTGCCAGTAGCCATTTCGTAAGGCAATTGGCTGACGGGCGCGGCTGTCAGCCGAGCGTGGGCCCGCCCCTCGGCCATGCCGTGACCAGGCTCGGTCGCACGGCACGGTCACAGTGTAATGGGGTCGGGTCCCGGTTCGGGTCTGGTTAGTCCGCTTTGACAGCCGAAGCACATCACGAAAGAGACGGAGTGGCAGAGCTGACAGGCTCCCTCACACAGAAGAGTATGTTCGCTAAAGGCAAGGGCTCCGCCGTGCCATCGGACAGCCAGGCACGGGAAAAGTAAGGCTCACCGACCGTATCCCGGCTCCCGTCCCCGGCGGTGCTCCGGGCGCCTTTCGCCGCTGCTCCGGCGTACTGAACGAGCAGCTAAGCCAGTCTCGCGTTTGGGGAGCTTGAGGCTGGGGGCGCATGGGACTATGAAACGTTCAGCTTTAGTTTGTCTAGAAGTTAAAATGTCAAAAGGCAGCGACTCACATTAATATGCCGGTTAGTTTGGCATTAACATTTGGTCCGCTTCTGCTGTAGCGTAATCATCATGGCATGGGTTATTTTGCTGCGAGGGACTTCTGAGGGCAGTTTATCTCGGAAATTTTCGGCAGATCTGATGGTCCTTGTAGAAGATCCTTGACTGCTAATGTTGTCCTCTGTTCCTGCTTTCGCGTGGCTTTTAATCATTTAATTATAATTAATCCGAAACCCATAATTCATGAAACTACATGGTCGAACGTGGGAAAGCCATAAGGTCTACGGGAGCGTGCCCCTCACTGGCTGCATGACCCCCGCTCTCCGCAGGCTGGCCTTGTACGTATACGAGTACCTGCTGCACATTGGGGCGCAGAAGTCGGCGCAGACCTTCCTGTCGGAGGTGAGTCCCGGTGCCGGGCTCGGACCTCGGAGTCCACCTGCCCTCTTCCATAAACCTGATAACCTTTCTCACCTGCTTGTTTGCCTAGATCCGGTGGGAGAAGAACATCACGCTAGGGGAGCCCCCAGGCTTCCTGCATTCCTGGTGGTGGTAAGCAGCCTTTTTTGATTTACCTGCCTGTGTGCCCCGTGTTCAGCTTTGCCCAGTATAGTTTAATGACTAATATCCATGTGTGATTAACATCTAAGTGCTCTGCCACTGTCAAAGGCCAATCTGGCCTTGCTTTCCTGTGTTTGGGGACGGTTGGTTTAATGCCACTGATCGGTTGGTGTTACAAAGTCTTATTTGTCACATGCAGTTATATAGTACAGGCAGTGCGGTAGGCAAAAGGGACACAAGTCTAATAGACAAGACATATTATAAACATAGGACCTAAAATAATCATAAATATCTGAAAAGAATTGGCAGTACATGGAGGTAGTGCAGCGATAAGGATTTATATATGCTTATACGTGGGTTCAGTCGGCCGTTGAGAACATAGGTGTGCAGGACCTAAACACTCCCCATTTAGTACCTGAATTGCCTGCGCTCTGTTTGTGTTGTGTATAGATTAGCTTTAAGGGTCAGATCCTGGGTGATGAGTATGTGTATTTAGATATTTGATTTGATCGTATCATAAATGCCAAATAACTTCTGTCGTTTCTTTGTGCCATAGTGTGTTCTGGGACCTGTACTGTGCAGCTCCTGAGAGGAGAGACACCTGTGAGCATTCAAGTGAAGCAAAGGCCTTCCATGATTATGTGAGTACCTGGCTGCGCTGAGTGAGTACCCAGGTGTGTTGCTGGGCTGAGTGAGTACCCAGGTGTGTTGCTGGGCTGAGTGAGTACCCAGGTGTGTTGCTGGGCTGAGTGAGTACTTTTTTGGGTTGTGTGAGTACTCACATGGGTTGTGTGAGTATCTCTCTGTGTCTTTTTGTAAGATCTGTACATTTTAGGCTGTGTCGCTGCCTCTGGTCTTATGCTGGTTTTAATATGCTCTGTAGCAGATCTGTGGAGACTCGGAGCTGTCAGGGCTGTGCTGAATGTGGGTCAGATAGATAGTGATTAGTGTGTGTGGCTGTAGGCGGAGCCCCTGTGAGGCTGCCTTAGCTGTGGGGGTGGGACGGTGGTCTGGTTCAGTGGTCTGGGGGGGGGTCCTTGTCAGCATTACCCCCGTTCCTGCCGCCGTATGCGTGTGGCAACACCTGGCCTCAGTGTCCGGTGTCTGCGGTGACGGAGGTGATGTCACCATGGCCTCCCGTGAACAATCTGCAACTGCTCGGCTTCTGGTGCTAGCTAAGCTCACGGCATGGAATGGCGGCATCCCCGGACGGCGACAGCGGTGTGCAAGGCCGGGGAGGCTGGCACCGGGGCCCGGCTGCCGGGGGTGTTGGCAGTGCATTCTGGGAGGCTTTTCAGGGCTGTCAGGGAACTCCTGATGTGCCATCTGCTTCACGTCGGACAAATCAACCGCCGTGCTGTAAATGTAACGGACAGGTGAACCTTTTCGATGCTGTACAGCGGCCCTGCAGGGGGCGCTGTTTACGCAGAGCCGCCTGTGCAGCCCGGGGTCACTCTGCTTGGTAGTGGTGTCACCCGGGTCCAGCTGCTCACGCCGCCCGTGTTATCGGCACTGACAAGACTCCTGTTATCTTCCTCATCGCTACCCCCTCCCCCACAGGAAGCCCCCCCCCGTGTGTTATCTGTCTCCAGGCTCGTTGGTCAGGCAGGTGGCTCCTGGACGTGTGAACAGGCCCCACTGGGCCACAGATAGCTTGTCCCTAGGCATGGGGCTGCCCCTTCCGCCCCGAGGGCAGCTGAAGGGCTCTGTACGCAGTGTTCCCGTGCCCTGCAGGTGGTGTGGGTGTCCTGTTCCCCACCCCCTCCTTGTGGCACAGCCCCTTTCACCTCGGGAGCCTTAATGGTGCCCCTCCCTCCCGTCCCGTCTGCTTAATGGGTGTGTCACACTATGGGCTGAATCCCCCCCAGGAGGCGAGTGTCTGGGGAGAAACCTGAAAAGCTTCTGCCCCCCTGTTCCTAATGAAAGTTAATTATCAACAATTGTTTGTTTGCTAAATTAAAATCTCTAATTAGTCAATTAGATTAAATGGCTGCTCAAGTCAGCTTTCGTCCCGCTGTGCAGGTTATTAAGTGGGGGGGGGGGGGTCCTATTTTAATTACAGAATGCTCATCCTGGCAGTTCAGCGGGAATGGCGGTATGTGTGTCAAGGGGGCCCTCAGCATCTGAGCTGCACACCCCCAGTGAGTGGACACCCTTCGAGGGGCGTGCTGGGCTCTGGCTGGATATTCCTTAGGCTAATAACATCTCATTTTTAAGTAGAGTTAGATTTGTGCATGAGCCAACCCCCCCCTTCCCCCAGACACTCTGTCCAGCCTTCTTCGTGCCCACCGCTCAGCATGACACCCCTCCACCCCAGTCCTTGTGTGGCTTGGTACTCAGCTGGCTCTCATTTACACAGCCCCCCCAATGTAATCTCCGGTTAATGCTTCTATGCTGCATTAGGCCCTGTGAGCCTCGCTGGGTTATTTTCGTGGCGCTGTCACACATTGCTACTTTCTGCCACCCCCCCCCCCACTCTCTGCCAGGCTGGATCAGTGTGCTGTGTGTGCTAACAGGGTGGTACTGAAGCCGGCTACGTGTGGCACTGTTCCTTTAAGGGGGAGGCGCCTGTTGTGTCCTTTAGGGTGTGACAGGATGTGAGGTCACGCTAGGCCACTGTCATGGTTCCTCCATATGCAGGTTTCCATGTCTCCCACTCTACTCTCCAGAGGCCCCCCCTGGGCCTCTGGAGAGGCCCCCCTTGAAGGCCCTCTCCACCCACAGCGCATGTGTCTGTATCTGTCTGTCTGTGTGTTTCTCTGTCTATGTACCCGTGTGTCTGTATCTGTGTATCAGTCTCTCTGTCTCTGTCTTTCTGTCTCTGTCTCTCTGTCTGTCTGTCTGCCTCTGTGTCTGTATCTGTCTGTCTGTGTGTTTCGCTGTCTATGTATCCGTGTGTCTGTGTGTGGGTATCTGTGTATCGGTCTTTCTGTCTCTCTGTCTCTATCCTTCTGTCCGTCTCTCAATCTGTCTTTCTCTCTTTCAATCTGCCTGTGTGTCTGTATCTGTCTGTGTGTGTGTTTCACTGTTTGTGTATCTGTGTGTCTGTGTGTGGGTTTCTGTGTATCGGTCTTTCTGTGTCTGTCGCTATCTTTCTGTCTCTCTCTCTGTCCGTCTCTCAATCTGTCAGTCTCTCTGTCTCGCTCTCTCTCTCTCTCTGTACACACTTATGTTTCAGCTCTTTACCTCTAAGCTATGTCAGGAATTTCCTTGATTTATTTTTTTTCCTGACAGGAATTAGCTGTACTAGTTTTTCCGGCAGGGTGGAGCTAGCCTGGGGAGTGATGTGGGGGGGGGGCAGGGCTGAAGGATGGAGTGGGCCAGTTCCGGTGATTGCTTCCGTGTCTCTGTTCCCACCCAGTGGGGTAGAGTAATTCCCCTGCTGAGAGGGCAGGTAAAAGGTGCAGTGAGAGATCGCTCTGGGGAGGGGGGGCTCCATCACTGTCATGTGACGCCTTTGCGGAGTGTTATACAGCAAAGTGCATGAACCCTCCCAAGCTCCAAAAAGCCTGATAAACTGCCGCCCATTAAAGGTCAATGTGGGCTTGTTGGTGGGGAGCGCGGCTGAGTCTGTGACTCCCCGAAGACCATATTGTGGGGAAGACCATATTGTGGGGGCCCTCGCCCTGCAGCCATATTTTTGAGCACCTTCCATCCAGATGAGTCACACGCTGCCCCCCACTAAGCGCCTCAGGTGGCTGGAAGCCATGTCTGTAAGTGCCCCCATTCCCCACTGAAGGGGACACCTTCCAGCAGTTTCACCCCCCCCCCCCCCCTGCCCCGCCACCAGCATCTCTTTTGAGGACTGGAGCTCCGGCACAGATATCTCATAATGGTGTGCGCTAAAGTGAGAGAGCTTCTGCCCTGTGCTGCTTTGTTCACACACCAGCAGGGGCCGTTTGCAGACTCCCACCTGCCTCATCACAGGCTTCATAAGCGCGTGTGCCCATGCCTCCTGCTCCTGACCCCCCCACTGGATTCAGCCTGACGGAGGTGCCCCTTACATTGCCCGAATAGAGCGCCCTCCATCAGGGGTCCTCGTCTCAGCCATCCTGCTGAGAGCCAGTGGATTCAGCCTGACGGAGGTGCCCCTCACACTGCCCGAACAGAATGCCCTCTATCAGGGGTCCTCACCCACAGGGCGGCTCTTTCCCACAGTGCCCCCTCTATTCTGTCTGCAGTGTGAAGTAAGGAAATTGGTGAAATAAAGCGAGGGGGCACTTTGTCTTGAGATATGGTTGCTGTGGCAACAGTCCTGCTAATCTGTAGATGACCTAGGCGGCCGACCAGAGGAGACATGGCTGTCTCTCTGGTATTTCATTATTTCAAGAGCCTCTGGTCCCCCCCCCCCTCTGTTGAAGCTGCTCCTGTATGAAATAATTGCAGAAGGTGGGGGGCGCTGGTGCCCATCTGCTCCTCAGCGCTCCTCGCGGGGATCGCTGTGACCGAGGGGCCTCCCCCTCGCCCGGCCTGCCTCTCGCTCGGCCTCCCCCTCGTCCGGCCTGCCTCTCGCCCGGCCTCCCCCTCGTCCGGCCTGCCTCTCGCCCGGCCTCCCCCTCACCCGGCCTGCCTCTCGCCCGGCCTCCCCCTCACCCGGCCTCCCCCTCGTCTGGCCTCCCCCTCGCCCGGTCTGCCTCTCGCCCGGCCTCCCCCTCGCCCGGCCTCCCCCTCGCCCGGCCTCCCCCTCGCCTGGTCTGCCTCTCGCCCGGCCTCCCCCTCGCCCTGCATCCCCCTCGCCCGGCCTCCTTTTATCACTTTCTTTTACGGCTTGTAAAAAGAGCCTGCTGTACAGATCCCCCCCCCTCTTGTGTGGCCTCTGAAACCCTGACTCCCTGGGCAGAACTTGGGGGGGGGGGGATGTCTTTATGATTCATTTGGAGTGAGTGAAGTACAGCACCGGCCTGCTGGGCTGGAGTGCCATCTCTGTGCCTCGCCCTCCCCCAGCCCCATTTTGTCTCTGTGCTGCTGTTATAACCTCATAGGGCCTGAGGGCCTCCCGCCCCCCCAGACTCGAGCACCCGGCAGGCTTTCCCATACGTTGGTGTTCCCCTCGCCCCCGCTCACTCACCCTGTACACGACCCCCTCACACGGTCACCGTCGCTGTTTAATGGGTCCATCTCCCGCTGCCGGTGCCACATAGAGACAGCAGTCTTAGCAAACGTGTTCGGTCACTGGCCCACGATCCGCTCCAGCTGTCAGGGGCCATCGGCCCACATCTTGCAGCTTTGTCTCTATGGCACCCGGGCCGGGCTCTCGCCCCCGTGGCCCGCACTGCGCCGTAAACGCTGCGTTGTTGACACACACTTCACTCCTGCCGGTAATGCCGGCCGTCTCTGCGGTGTGGCTTTATGGAGCTGTGTCGCTAGGCAGATGGTGCACGCTTCCCATCGGCCTCCACCGCCGCGCACCAGCCATGCGGAAAGTAAATATGTGGCTAAGTGAGCGGCTGCACCTGCCTGTCCCTGGCCCGCACGGCCCCAGGCTTCCAGGCACCCCCCTTTCAGTGGCTTTTTGCGGTGGCCATTTTCCTGCAGTGCAGCTGGTGACGTGTTTCAGTGTGATTTATTATCACTGGGGCCCGGGAACCATCACACATTGAGTGGCTTCTCCTGCCAAACACGGGTGTGTTGCCATTGGGACTAAATCTGATTGTTCCCTGTGCAAAATTAGAAAAACATGGTTTGCGTGTGAGATCTGCTGATGTGTCATTAAGATCAGTTTTATGTTTGACAGTTTTAACGACTTTAAGTTTGTGTGTGTGTGTGTGTGTGTGTGTGTGAGAGAGAGAGAGAGAAGGAGAGTGTGAGAGAGAGAGTGAATGTGAGAGAGGAGGAGAGTGAGAGAGAGGGACAATGTGTGTTTGTGTGCGAGAGAGAAGGAGAGAGTGTGTGAGTGAGGGAGAGTGAATGTGAGAGAGAGAAGGAGAGAGTGTGAGNGAGAGAGGGACAATGTGTGTTTGTGTGCGAGAGAGAAGGAGAGAGTGTGTGAGTGAGGGAGAGTGAATGTGAGAGAGAGAAGGAGAGAGTGTGAGAGAGAGAGAAGGAGAGAATGTGTGTGTGTGTGTGTGTGAGAGAGAGAGAGAGAGAGATCTTTACCTCAGCTGCTTTGGAAAACCATGTGTCCAGCTGATGGCATCATCAAAGTTAGCCAGGAGGTGCTTCAGTGCCCCCCATCAGTCTCCCTCTGACTCCCTCTGGCCATCGCCGCTGTCGAGGTGTCAAAACAGCGTGATAAAACAGCCTGGGAGGTTGAGGGTGCCTTTTCGTGATGTTTGCCGCTAACAGCGCCACCTGCTGGCCAGGGTATTGGCCAACCCTTATCTCAGCTCTCTATGGGTGGAAACTTTGGAAAAGGTTTCAGGTGCAGAAGGAGCCGTTTGGACTCCAGGCGCTGCAGGAATGAGCAGGTGTCTCTGCTGTTCCCCACCGCTGTACGTGCGTGTGTGTGTGTGTGTGTGTGTGTGTGTGTGTGCGTGTGCGTGCCTGTGTGTGAGATTACCCAAGCCACGTGGTCCGGCCTAAGCCCCCATAATGCCCAGCGTGCTGACTGGCGCTCACTTCTAAGAGACTTAATGACAGTGGCAGGTGAGAGTGTGACAAGTCACACAGATCAACCCTGGCTCCTATGTGCTGGACGCTGGCGATGTGGCATGGTGATGTGGTGAAGAGAGCGCCTTCCCCACAGAGCACGGTGCTGGACAGGTCCCCGCCGGCGATGTGGCATGCTGATGTGGTGAAGAGAGCGCCTTCCCCACAGAGCACGGTGCTGGACAGGTCCCCGCCGGCGATGTGGCATGCTGATGTGGTGAAGAGAGCGCCTTCCCCACAGAGCACGGTGCTGGACAGGTCCCCGCCGGCGATGTGGCATGCTGCCCTGTTCCACCCCGGCTTTTTACCTCCTCGCTGTGATATTTCACTGGAGCTCCTGGTTCTTCCGCTGGGCTATTCTTAGACATGGTGCCATCAGCAGCCGGTCGCCGTTCCTGACTGGGGACACAGAGCAGATGTCCCCAGGAAATGGCCGTATTTACCCCGCTGCTAATGATTGGCCAGTTTCCGCGGCCGTGAACGGCCGTGCCACCTTATTGTCCTCAGATTCAGGCTGCGGCCCCCACTCATCTGAGGGGCCCCGGGGTCTCGTGGGCGGCCTGATGTGCTTCCCAGTGACGTGGCCAAAGCCAGCAGCTGGGCTGGGGCTGCCCAGGACGTGATGTAGGTTCTCCCACCTGTGCCTCATCCCGGGAGACTAGGTGGTTCTCCTGGCGTTCCGAAGGGACCGACTGCGCCTCGTTCTGATCCATTATTAATGAGATGCTTTCAAAACAGAAAGGCTCGTGGCAGTATTCCGTGGCGGTGTTCCGTGTCACTGTGGTACAGCGTGCTCCTCTTTCACACCTGTGTGTGTAGAAACCCCCGGCTGCCCCCTAGATGCATGCGCTCCTCTGGGCACACCCCCTTAGCCACAGAGGAATGCTCTCGCACAGGTACGCATGTGTGCACGTGTGTGTGTGCGTGTGCAAATAGTCAGACCGGGGCTCCCCATGCACGAACAGGGGCAGGTCTGTGGTGTGGAGTATTGTGTGGTGTGTGGTGTGTGTGTGTGTGTGTGTGTGTGTGTGTGTGTGTGTGTGTCTGTTCTGCAAGTTTCTCCTACTATCTGAGTTATAGCTGAATCAAGAAAAAAGTTTTGCGTATCCCAGAGTTTGTTTGGAACTTTCTGCTGTTCCCTGCTGTTTCACGGTGAAATATTTACATGAAACAGCAAAACTATTTATTTTCTGTTTTCACCCTTCCAGTGCTGAATCACCAGCAGGGTGCCTTGTTTCCTGAGTGCGATCGATAAGCTCTGTCTGTCTGTATGTCTGGTTGGCTTAGCTGGGGTTGTGGTGCATTGTGGGATTGAGGACGGCCCTGGTGCTCAGGGATGACTAGCGGGAGTGGGATGTCGGCTGCAGGGCACCTCTGCAGGCTTGTTGGCTGTGGGGCTGTCTGGGTTAAGCTGCACCCCCCTTCCCTGCCCCCACTCCGTTATACTGAGGTGTAACTGCAGTAATAAATCACAGCGCCAGGCTCTTGGTGGGGGGGGTGAGGGTCAGAGTCTCTGTATGTCCCCCCCCGTGCCCCGGGCTTCTCTAGCTGTGCGGGGCTCTCTGCCCTGTCAGTGCGTTTGGTCCCTTACTGTCCCTCCCCGGCACTGACCCACTGTTGAGAGGAGGGCACCGATCTGTCCCCCTGTATCCGTATGCTCTTTACTGGGGTCACTGGGGAGACCGCTGCCTGGCTGAGCCCACGGGGGGGGGGGGGGGGATCACATTGATTCCAAGTGACATCCTTGGTCGGTGGATTATCCCTGATATGTGGTGCCTCCTCTGGCCACTCAGCATGTCCATCTTCGTTCCGAAGCTGCAGATGCTGCCTCCTGAATGTCCGTAATGTGACCTGCATCTGCAGGCAGTGCTAACGCTTGGCCAGAAGTACATTGATAAACAGAATTATGCCCATTTACAAACAGTCTGAGGAGCCCCAAGTGGACGAGCTGCACGTGACCTCTGACCTTTGGCCGTAACCTGCTCATTTGTCAGCTAAGTGCTTTATGTGCTACTGAATTTCCGCCTTTAATTAAGCATTTTAATGGAGTGTTTCAGGTAAAGCTCCATGTGCAGAGCCCGGCCAGGGTGCAGGTGGGGGGGGGGGGGGGCAGTGCCATTTTAAACCCGTCTGGGTCGGTTTGAGCTCGTTTACGCCGCTTAATTGAAGGAAGAACTCCCGCATTCCTGAATGGCTGCACCCAGGGCAAGCGGCTGCCCTCGGCACTGGCCGGACCGGCCCTGTGTGTGCGGGCCCACAGAACACACGCGTGTGCGTGCGAGTATTCGTGTAACTGGATCCGTGAGTTTCGGAGTGTAACTATAAACCAGCGCTGATGTCAGTGCTGCTTCACCGGCGGGCAGGTGGAGAGGCTGGCGAGGGCGGGGCGAGGGCGGGGCCAGGTAGACTTGGCGGGTGTTCACCCAGGCCCAGCCTCCATGTCCAGTCCCGTCCCTGTGCCTGGCCCTGTCCACCCGCTGCACGCCACGCCGCTTTCCCACCCTGTCTCTGCTGCTCTCCCTTCTGCATTTGTCCGGGCTCAGGGACGGTCCAAAGAGGCAGACACACTGACGATGGAGGTTAAGATGGACGGAGGACTTCTGTCTGCCCCGGGGGTTCCAGACTGTTAGTTTTCTCTGGATTTGGGCTGGGTGACAGTGAGGCTTGTATAAGACCTTTTGTTGTTGCTGGGGGGGGGGGGACACAAAATAAGCTGAATGGACGTATGGCGCAGAGCAGGGCAGGAAATGCATCGAGATCTTTCTTTGGTGACAGGAGGGAAATGACTTTCACTTCCTGTGAAGGGTGTGGGCTTTCGGCTGCTCTCTCTCGCTCTTGGCTGCCCCCGATGGTGGGTCTGTGTATCTGGAGCCGTCTGAGTTAACCTCAGTGTAGGCCCAGTCTGTCCCTCCTCTCGTCTCTCTCAATGCACCTGCCTGACCTCTGACCTCTCTCTCTCCCCCTCCCTCAGAGTGCCGCTGCCGCCCCCAGCCCCGTGCTCGGCAGCATCCCCCCCAACGACGGCACACCAGGGGGCCAGATGCCTCCTGGCTACTTCCAGGTGAGCACTGTGACACAGCTTCCTGTCTGCTGGACAGGCCACACCCCTTACTTCCTGTTTGCTGGACAAGCCACACCCCTCACTTCCTGTTTGCTGGACAGGCCACACCCCTCACTTCCTGTCTGCTGGACAGGCCACAGACCCTTTTCCTGCGCCTGGGGGTTAGCGATAGGGTTGGGGCTAGCAGAATGGCTTCCGGCATGTGCCCTTGGGGCCTGCTCTCTCACAGGGGTTCGGCTCTGCCTTGGCGTGTCGTGTGAAATGCACCTGATTACAAAGCCTGGGGTTACACTGCCCCCTAGTGTCAGCTTTCAGTAACAGACTTGCTTGAGGGCAGGTCCTGTGCTTTCACTGGTGTTGGAAGGCGTCTGTGGAAACATTCCAGGCCAGCGTGTTGAGAGAGGCTGATGACGAACGAGAGTCACGACGGGAAATTCCGTGCGGGAGGGTGTTTCAGGGAAGACCCTTAATAGAATGTGTGCTGGGGGAGGTCAGGAAGGGGGCGCCACTCATCAGTTTGTCTGAACAACGAGCTGTCTGGGGGTGGAGTACATGGGTGGCTTGGGGGGGGGGTCCTTTTAGAGCATGGGTGTCAAACCTGGGGGGCCGGTATGGAAGTAAATCTGTGTCATCACAATTTGAATTTTATATGCCACTCAAATTCTAACATTGAATATTTATGCATTGGAAATATGCATCGGGAATTCGATGGTCCAAATTCACATGCAAAAATACAAGGTTAAAAATACGAGTTATACATCCGGGATACCAAGGCTAAGCAATGGAATCTGTGGCTGCGTTCGACTTGGGCTCAGGTCTGTCTGCAGCTGACGTGACAAGAGCATCTGGCTGCGGCTGCAGGGGTGGAGTATAAACTGACTGCAGCCAAGTCGGACAACTTCTACTCCTCATTGTGTGCACCTGACTGCAATGGCTGCACTGCCAGAAGGGTGTAGATAAATCTATACAAATATCACCTGCATGCATATTACTTCTTTTCCAATAACCAACTCCTGATCCAAACTGTTAGCAGTGGAAAAAAAATAAACAATTGTGTATAGTGGCCCTGTGTAAAAAGATAGCTGCCAGGAAATAGATAAAATACATGTATTTCAAGGAATCAAAGTTTTTATTGTCATGTACTGAGTAAAATGCAATTCTTACTTGAATACCTTCTTCACAGACTGGACAATTAAACAAATAAAGCAGCGCAACATTACAGTAACTAACAATAAGTAAACCACTAACTTACGTGTACTATTAGAGCATTTATGTCATTTATTTAAACTTTATTTTACCAGGCAAATTAACTGAAAAACAGTTATAACTGCTTTATGTGATATTCGGGAGAAATGGCAGATAACACCTCGGAACTGCCTGGGATACAAACGTCAGGACCGGAATGCATTGCTGTTGTGCTGTAAGCGGCTGCATGAAGTCGAACGCAGCCACAGATTCCATTGCTTAGCCTTGGATGTATAACTCGTATTTTTAACCTCGTATTTTTGCTTGTGAATTCGGACCATCAAATTTCCAATGCATAAATATTCAATGTTTAGAATTTCAGTGGCATATAAAATTCAAATTGTGATGACACAGATTTACTTCCATAGGCCAGAACTCTGCACATTTTTGGGTTTCCCACCTGAGTCAATCAACTCCTTGCACCTCCTTGTGCTAATTACCACACAGCTCTTGGGCTGAATCATTCGTGGTGGAACACGGAAAAAACTAAGCTACACAGGGCTCCGCCCCCCCCAGGACTGCAGTTTGACACCCCTGTCTCAGAGGAAACCCCTGCGTTTCTGTTTTGGCCGTGCTTACAGCGCCATCTGGTGGTTAGCCACACAGCTGCCTGACAGGGAGTGGCAGGTGGGGCCCTAAGAGAGGAGTTCAGGTTACGTACGGGAGGCCATGTCTTGTGAAACACCCGAATGTCAATGCTCACTGAGAGCCCTGCCCCCCCTGCAGGGCCCCCCTGGCTCGCAGGCGTCGCCGCACGCTCAGGCTCCGCCCCACCCGAACCCAAACAGTATGATGGGACCCCATGGGCAGGTAAGGAGCCCCCCTTCCAGAGGGCCGCCGGTTCGGCCAAGTGATTCATTAAGGCGCGTTAATCACTGCAGTATTTTTAGTGTCTGTACTCTGTGTCTGTACCCACCCCCACCCCGACATCCTGCTCAAGATAGACGGGGGGGGGGGGCTTCAGCAATCTGTCACCTTCTCACACACACACACACACACACACACACACACAGATACAGACAGTGACACACACACACACACACACAGATACAGACAGTGACACACACAGATACAGACAGTGACACACAGACAGTGACACACAGACAGTGACACACACACACACAGATACAGACAGTGACACACACACACACAGATACAGACAGTGACATGCGCCAGTATGACTTCAGTCTAGCACACAGCTCAGTCCTATAACTCTGTTCTATACAGCTGTTCCTGCCATGCATTTGTGCCTATGTGTGTGTTTCTATCTGTGTGTGTGTGTGTGTATCTGTCTGTCTATCTATGTGTGTGTGTGTGTGTGTGTATCTGTCTGTCTATCTGTGTGTGTATCTGTCTGTCTGTCTATCTGTGTGTGTGTCTCCGCGTGTGTGTGTATCTGTCTGTGTGTGTGTGTATCTGTGTGTGTGTGTGTGTGTGTGTGTGTCTGTCCGTCTGTCTGTCTATCTGTGTGTGTGTGTGTGTGTGTGTGTGTTTGCACGTGTCACTCCTCCTTTCAGATGTCATACCAGTCTTATTAAACCCATAAATAAGGAATGCTGTGTTCCGCGCTCCACGCTCCACGTTCCGCGCTCCACGCTCCGTGTTCCACGCTCCCTGCCCTCCATCTCTAACCACGACTGTCCCCGCAGCCCTTCATGTCGCCCCGGTACGCTGGAGGACCCCGGCCGCCCATCCGGATGGGGAGCCAGGTAAGGAGCCATGTCGCCATGGCGACCTGCCCCACCCCCAAGCCCCCGTCCTCCTTGCAGGCCAGCTGGCCGACGTCTTATCCTCCCTGTGGTCCCTGATGTGCCGTAGGCTCCCTGAGGCGGCCCCAGGGGGTGTTTGCTTTCAGCATGCCCCCCCCCCCCACCCACATAGCTGTAAATTATTGAGTGGAGCAGCTCAGAGACGCTACTTCTGCAGAGCTGGGGGGTTGCTGGCTGGAGGAACGCCCCCATTAACGACCTTCAATGCCCATTAAACCCCCCCGCCCACTGGAATCTCGCATGGGGGGGGGCTCCTCCTCTGTCCGCTTCCAGGATCCCGAATCGTACACTTGGCTTCTGCTCTCCGCAGAGATGACACATTCACACTCCCCTCCCCCATCTCCCATCTGCCACCCCCCATCCCCTGCCTCCTGTAGCCTCCGGGAGGAGTTCCGGGTGGCCAGCCTCTCCTCCCCAGTTCCATGGACCACACGCGTCAGCAAGGTGAGCCCACTGCCACTGGGAGGCACTGCTGTACATCCTTCAGCTGAGGCCTGAAGCCAGTGATTAGCTGGAATCCTGCATCAGGGTTTTTGTTGGGCTTATTTGATTGGTTTTCAGTTTTGCCCTGCAGCTCTTGGCTCACAGATCCTGTGCTACATCCCAAAGTCCCATAGGGCCAAGTCCACAGATCAATACTGGCTAAGTACCGATGACAGAGGCGATACAGGGTTGCAGGGAATGGGTACTCAGAAATGATGTTTGAAAATCCGTAAGACACCTCAAAGATAGGATAACACCAAGGACAAGATTTAGGGCCAAAATGCAGTGAGACACCGTAAGCATTCAGGCGGTGCTGGTGTGCGGGAAACGCGTCCGTGCCTGACATAGATGTAGTGAACCCGCGATCTCACACCTTTAGAACTTAGACATCAGTGGTCATTGTTGACACACCACAGTGCAAAACGACAAAATGTGTCCTCTGCATTTAACCCATATGTGACGTCATGACATATCAGGGGGCAACTAATTCAGTGCCTAGGGAGCAGTGCTTGGGGGCGGCACCTCAGTGGTGCTTTGCTGGTCAGGGATTCGAACCAGCAATCTTTCAATCACAAGTCCACTTCCCTAACCATTAAGCCACCACTGCCCGGAAATCTGAAGCAGCTCTCTGTCTGTCTCCAGGACACCCGAATTTAGGAGGACCGATGCAGCGCATGACTGCCCCGAGAGGAATGGCTCCCATGGGACCTGGACCCCAGGTAACACCACAGTGCTCTGTGCTGCTGGGTCACACGGTGGATCACGTGGCTGGTCACACAGCTGGTGCATTTAGGGGTGGCTGCATGCATGCGTGCATCATGCCGCCTCTGCATGCTGAGCGGCCATCTCAGGCCTCCTTATTCTTGGTTCTCATTGCAGGGCTATGTGGGTGGGGTGAGGCCCCCCCTTAACTCCATGGGTCCCGGCATGCCTGTGATGAACATGTAAGATAGCGCCCCCTCCAGCCTCCCGCCTTGTCCCAGACTCCATCTCCCGTGATTCTTCCTTTTAAAAGGCCGCCCCTCCTGTCTTTCAGGGCTCCCGGAACCGGCCGGCCGTGGCCGAATCCCACCAGTGCCAACTCAGTGAGTATGCAGGGGCCTCATTCTTAAAGCTGGAGGTGTATGTCTGCGATGGCCTGTAGGGGTCCTCGCGGCCGATATCCCAGTGGTTGACTCGCGTATGGCTCTGTTCGCAGATTCCTTACTCCTCTTCCTCCCCCGGATCCTATGTGGTAAGTGACCTTATGCCCTTTTATGTAATGTAATAACCCATTCGCATATCCTCACTCACCATTGGCTGTGAGCAGTGAGCTGGTCTGAGGGACACGTGAGCGCCCCCTGCTGTCCTGTTAGCTTGGCACAGTGCAGCCGGGGCTCTCAGTCTGCTCTGCTGGCCATGGCGGCTGGTGGGTGGCTTTAGGGTGACTGCCTGTCGGTTTGGAAGGGTCTGTGCCCCCCCCCGGCAGTCCATAGGTAGCACTTAGCTGGGCTGCTGTTCTTGGACGATCAGCAGCCCTGCCCTGCTGTGCAGCGACCCCACGTTTCTGCTCCTGCCTTGTTTACTGTTCCTGTACATGGCTGCCCCTTGCACCGGCGCCCCCTGCAGGCGGCTGGGTAGGGGTGCGGACCTCGGCACCTTGCATTGAGTGCAGCTGCTGCTGTGCTAATAGGTCTTTCGTTCTCCTGCCCCCACAGGGTCCGCCAGGAGGGGGGGCTCCGCCCGGCACGCCCATCATGCCCAGTCCAGCAGGTATGACCCTTCCGCAGGGTTTGGGGGGTGCATTTCTATAACACATGTGTGACCCTGTGCCCCACGATCCTGCAGATTCCACCAACTCCAGTGACAACCTGTACACCATGATCACCAGTGGGGGTGGCCGGCCAAGTGTGAGTCCTGGGGGGGGGTCTGTGCATTCAGGGGGAGGGCTTCCCATGTCTTTCTCAGTATTCATTCAGTACACTGTGTATGACAGCAAGCCTTCCCCCCTTGTTTCTCCCTCCGTCTCTCCTCCTCCCACTCCCTCTATCTCTCCTTCCTTGTTTTCTTCTTTTTCTCTCTCGCCCTCGCTCTCCCTCCCTCCATCTCTCTCCCTCTCCCTTCCTCTCTCCCCCTATCTTCTATCTCTCCCTCTTTCTCTTTCCCTCCCTTCCCTACTCTCCCCCCATTCTCTCCTTCTTCCTCCCTCCCTCTGTCTCCCTCCCTCCCTGTCTCCCTCTCTCTCCTTCCCTCTCCCTGTCTCCCTCTCTCTCTCTCCCTATGTCTCCCTCTCCCTCCCTCCCTCCCTCCCTCCCTCCTTCACAGTTCCCCATGGGCCCCAGCACGGACGGCCCCATGGGGCCAATGAGCAGCATGGAGCCCCACCACATGAACGGGTCGCTAGGTAATGCGCCCCCCCCCCCCCCCCCCGCCTCGAGGCCTTGGTGGCAGTTTTTTTGCACGTCCTCATTCCAGTCACAAAGGAGCCGTTAATGAGTGTGTTTGTTCCTTACAGGGTCGGCCGACATAGACGGGCTTCCCAAGGTAATTGTGGTGCTCTCCTGCATCCTCATTGGTCTGCTCCCATTTGCATTGCTCTCCTGCATCCTCATTGGTCTGCTCCCATTTGCATTGCTCTCCTGCATCCTCATTGGTCTGCTCCCATTTGCATTGCTCTCCTGCATCCTCATTGGTCTGTTTCCATTTGCATTGCTCTCCTGCATCCTCACTGGTCTGTTTCCATTTGCATTGCTCTCCTGCATCCTCATTGGTCTGTTGCCATTTGCATTGCTCTCCTGCATCCTCATTGGTCTGTTCCCGTTTGCATTTCGGGTTACAGAGTTCGATTCTTCTTTCATGCAGAATTCTCCCAACAACTTAAGCGGCATCAGCAATGCCCCTGGGACCCCGAGGGATGACAGCGAACTGGGGGGCAGCTTTCTGCACTCCTTCCAAAATGAAAATGTAAGCAAGGAGGGGGGGGGGGGCTCACCATCCATTGCTCTGTCCCAATTGATGGCCTTCTAGCCAGGATGACCTGCTGTGATTGGCTGGAGTTTGTTACAGCTCCGTGTTTCTCTGGGGATCTGTGATAGTGTTTCAGGGTGTTCAGCAGAAATGAAGGTGGTCTCTGTGGTCTCTCCCCCACTCAGTATTCACCCACCATGACCATGAGTGTGTGATGACCCCCCCCCACCCCCGTCAGATGCCATCTTGAAGAGCTGGGACAGTCTGAAGGAAGCAAGCAGACACGCGGAGAGTCTCCTGAGATGTGACGGCCCACTTGGCTGCCAGTGGTGCTTCTGACACCTCCGGCGGCTTTTCCGATGCTAGTCCCCCATTCCTCACAGCCAGCACTTCCTGCTTTAACGCCAAGCCCCGCCCAATCCCCTGTCATGTGCAAGCGGATGTAAATCCCCACGTTTGAGTTTCCAGCCTCTGCGACATGCTTGACTGTTCGCTGCACGGGCCTCCCCGTCTCCATGTTGGTGGCTTTGTTAGGGCCATTTGGATGCTAAGCAGGGTGGATATTTTGTGCTCCGGAAGGCTCCCACCGCTCCTCACCCTTTAAGCCTGGACCCCGCGGACACCCCTCCCCAAGTGTGAGCCAGCACCGCCCCGGTGTCGGCTTATCCGGGCCGCTCACCTGCCTGGTCGTGTGACCTGGCGGAGCAACCTCAGGTGCCCCCGGTCTGCCCACGGCTCCTTCTGCCTCCGCATCTCGAGGAATGACAGCAGTCCCCAATGTTCCGGAACCTTCCTTCCATTGTGTTTAAATACCGTATGCTGTACAGGCCTGAGCTGTGAAATATGCACACGTATATACCAGAGGGGGGGAACCTGGGATTGGTGAGGCTGGCGCAGACAGCCCCTGCCTGCTGTCAAAAGGCATCATGTGACGTGTCATGTGACCCTGCCTGCCGGCTGCTGTGGTGAACGTGGGGCATGCTGCAGTCCCTGTACTCTTACTGTGTACTGTTATAACGAGAAGGTGAATGATGCCCTGTAGTTCAGTACCTAAACCGCTGAAGGAGGTTTCCTGCTCGCCCTTCTCCCCACCCATGAAGTACCTCCCCTTTCAGACTTGTTTTTCTTGCCTGTTACATGCTGCACTTGCTACATGTAGCACGGACCTTTTTTTATACAGTGAATTGCTTTACATGTGTTTATGGGAATGCGGTGGCTCGAGCTGTAGGCTCCCGCCAACTATGGGGGGGGAACCGCCGGTGTCTCTTCTCCATCCCTCCATCCAGTGGACATTTTGAACCTTAGGATGATTTTCCTTCTCGTTACCTGTCATTAATAATGTTTACCGTAACTTATTTTTTGTCATTGGTATGGGATGATTACGAATGTTCCCACCTCTATCCAGCATTGTAATTAATATTAACATAAACCTGGTCCTCTGCCGTTTGGTCTCTTTTTTTTGGGCGGAGATGAATTTATGTATCCAAGACTCTGACTGGGTGACCAGCGGGGGACTTCATCTTCCTTCACTTGCATTTAGCCCAGGCTGCCTTAAATGCGACAAGTTATCCGGCTAAGCAACAAATCTTGCTGTGCCCCCTGGTTATCTTCCTTTATTTTCCAGGGTCTGATAGACAGGGGTAAACATAGCTGGTACGCAAGTATGCCACATAAAGCAAGACACACGGCTGCTTCTTTTATGTGCATTTGTGCTGTTATGACAAGAAATCAGCTTTTATTTTAAGCTTTATACCGAAAAATCAGTACAGGTTAGCCACAAAGGTTAAAATGCACTGTAACTTGTCATAACAGCACAAATGCATATGAACTTGTTTTATATGGTGAATGCGTATTTGTCTGCCACTTACACACGCGCCCGGCTATAGACCAATAAAGAGCCTCCTTCCTCGTTCCGGGTAAACGGCGCCATAAGCGGTAAGGGGCTTCACTGAGGGCAAAATGTCAGTATGGGCCAGTCGCGGAATAGGACTCCTCTAACAAAAACGCTTATATCTCGCAGATGTACCGTAATTTCATTGAAGAAAAAAAAGTTAATTCTGGAGACTACAGGATCCAACGATCCCCAATTGGCTAAGTCTTAAAAATATCTCAGCCCAGAACTAAGTTGTCAAACAGGTTAGAATTTAAGCTCTCTATGTGTGTTAAGGGTTTCAGAGCCCAAAAACAAACTGAAGCTAAATTCATATAAGAAAGGTTAGCTGTCGTGAATTTTTAATTTTTTTCTTTGTTTAGCGTTATCGAATTAACCTTTGGAGTTAGCGTTTTAGCAGTTATTGAAACAAACTTTTCAGTTACTTTCCAGTGCCCACTGCTGCAGTGATTTAGTCACACGGTAAGCACATGGGGCCTTTTCCAAACGAGGCCTTCTCTTAACGGTGGTACCAGTCTGTCGGCCCCTGAAGGGTCTCAATGGGAGTGTCTAAAGTGACTGCCGCTGTGACACCTTCCTTTGTTTACCGCTTGAATTAATCAGGTAAAAGAAATACAAGGTCACATGACTCCCTGGCTTCTGCCCTGGACAGCGACCCTGCAGCAGACCACAGTCCCCACCCCCCAACGTTGCTCATTTAAACCCTAAAGAACATTACAGGTAGAACATGTGCTACTCACAGATACAAACATGTTTGACATCAGCGGTTTATTGGAAGGTTGTGCACACACAAGTAAAAAAAATGAGGATTGCTGATGTTCGTGAGCATGAGTGTGTGATGTCTGGGTTTGGGGAAGGTCTCGCGCACTGGTGGGTCATGCCGCCCCATGTAAGTAGAGAGCCAGGAACTTCTTGAAGGTGTCTGGCTGGTATCCAGCCAGGCCTGCAGGAACCTTGAAGGCAGAAAACAAGAGATTTGCACACCTTACAATCTCAAAAGAGCAGAAGACAGATGCTGGTCTGCAGGTTTCTAGACTGAACAGAAGCCAAATCAGCAGATAACTAACTAACTAACTAACTGTTTCATGCCATGTTAGCAGCTAGGGCTATATTCATGGCCACTCAGGTAGGGTTGCCAGTTAACACCGCAAACGGTGAGTCGTGTGGCTGCAACTGAACACATGCAGCAAGCAGACAGGGTCAAAAGGGACAGCTGCAGTGAGGCTAAGCACTGGAGTCGTGTGATCCAAGTGGTTCTGAATGCAGTGTGATTGTTGGTTGATTGAGTATCTTCAGTTGCAGGACTCGTAAACCCTTGAGATTGGTTATAGATAAGGGCCCCCTGCCCAGTACCACACAGGCACAGCTGGCCCCCTGACCCAGGAGTGCAGGTACAGGTCTGTCAACATGAGCCTCCTGTTGGCGATGCCTACCTGGATCACCTTCTTCTTGACAACGGGCCGGATTTTCGCATATTCATAGAGGGGCTGGTCAGCATCCATCCACACCAAGTTCTTGACGCCGGTGTCGGAATCCAGGTCGGTGGTGTTGAGCTGGAACATGACAAAGCTGAAGGTCCTGCCATTGGTGGCCACGCTCTGCACCATCACTGGCCACTCCAGGACCTGCGGCTGGGTCTACAGGGACACAGAGCGTTCTGCTGAGCAGCCAGGACAGACTCAAAATTTCCTCAGGGGTTCCCTACCCATCAGTCTCTGGGGCAAGGAGAAGCTTTATGAACGTGTGCGGGACACTGCAGGAATCCCCATCAGAAAGAAACACTCCACCCTCCATGAGGTAATAACGAGAATCAGACTTTGACTCCCTGCACTGTAAAACATGCTGTGCTCAACCTATTTCGCCATCCCAAGGCGTGGTCCCATCGGTGCCTTACCCCGTAGAGGGCGTGGGCGTGTGCCAGGGCATTCCCAAAAGCGAACATGATCATCTTGGCGTGAACCTGCTCCTCCTTCAGCTTGGGCCCTTCGCCACACTCGAGGATGTAGAGGGTGTGCGCGTGGGGGTAAGGGTAGCCGTCCTGGAAGCCTGCGGGAGACATGGGAAGAGATGCTCATGCTGGGCGGGGGCTCACCACAAACCGCACAGGATTATGGGGCTTAACCCATTACAAAAGCAGCAACGCCAAAGAGCTTCAGCTCCCATTTATTACACATATCTGCTGCTACTTCATCATTTGACTTTTGTGTCTTCTAGAACGTTCTCACGATATCCAGCACAGTGAGACTCTAAGATGTCAGAGTGGCTTCACAGAGGGGGTACCTGTATCATTCTTCTGCTTGTAGGCGTGGGTGACCTGCAGGTCGATGGTGGGGGCGATGGGGTAAAAGGTCTCCAGTTCCTCACCCTCGGTGCTCAGCAGCTCCTCCTTTCCAGCCACCACAGGAACAGCGGACATGCTGTTCAGCAGGAGTCCATTCTGGCCTCGGACCTGGAAGAGGTCACCCCCTGGATGCCAGTAGGCAAAAAGCAGGATAATCCCAGAGCACAATGAGGTTCCAGACCTGCATCCATGAAGCGCTGAGACAAGGTCTCATTCTCCCCCAACTAGAAAGCCCTCAAAGAAGTTGACGTGGCAGTCAAGCTCTGCGTGTGACCCTCAGAAGCCGCTCTCGGAATAACATGCCCCAAAGCAGGGATCAATTTAAGGTCCATCGTCATTTAAGGTCCATGCACTCTCCAGCCTACATGGGGCGCAGCACTCACCCCGGGTCCAGCAGGCCGCCAGGCTGTACTTCTCGGCCAGCATCCTCCTGCCCAGTGTTGGGAGCCTGACCTGCAGGGTCCCGCAGAGGTGCAGCAGGTTTCTGAGCAGAACCGGGCTGGAAAGAGAGCGGGCAAACATGTAAGGCTGTGTGGAAGTGGGGGGAGCGGCTGGCAATCAGGCAAAGCCGCCGGGAGGCCTCGCCATCCGAGCGCGAAATAAGGAAGAGCCGCTTTTAAAGATGGCGGCCCCCAGGTCTCCCCACACTGCAGCCCTGTCCGTCACATGGGCCGAGCGTCTCTCTGACATTTCCGCACGCTGCTCTGCTGATGGGTGAAGCCACAGAAATGTTAAACGATGAAAGCAGCCCCCCCCCCCCTGCATGTGTAGGAAAGGCCACCCCGTCTGCGGCTTAATGGGGGCCATCAGAGGCCTGGTAGGGGGCAAGGAGCTCCACTGAGCCAGGTTCATTAATAAGGGCTTAATTCAGACAAACATCTCTGCAGGGGGACGGGCGAGCGAGCTTGCGCCCCACTTACAGCGGCCGTTAGGTTCAGCATGCTGTCGTTGCTCCCTGGGGAGCGAAATGTCACTTTCCCCAGCGTTAATAACATGGTGCCAATGATTTCTTCATTAGTCCTAATTATAGTCCTGAAGCTTTTTGGTGGCACACAGACAAACACAGACTGCCAGAGTGTCAGGAAGACTGACCAGAATCTCTCCCTGGGGGGCTTCCTTTCTGTACTGTCCCAGAAGCGGGCATGCTGGATCGCATGCTGGACCCGCTCGTCTTGGTCCTCGATCTGATTGGCCGCATCCTCAGCCAAAGCCAGGACCTGTGGGGGCAGCCCCTGTCTCACGATGGATTTGGTGAGCCACGCCGCTTGCCGTGTTCCTGTTAAAAAACCACAAAAAGCCATTCAGAAGCCAACCTGCAAAACTCATCACACACTGCCAAAATGTGACGAACAATTTAATCTGCATTTACAGTATTCAAAAATGTATATAAAAAAAATCTTCTACAGAACTCTGTACACAAAAAACACCAGACATAGGAGCAGCTTCTTCCCTCAGGCCATCATTCTCATAAACAGCTAAGCTGTGTCACCTGCCTTCTGTCAATTTCCTCCCTTAAACTCTGATTGCACTCAACTTCATACTTTATACTTGTACAGTGTTACCCATGTGTGTATATTTCAAATTTTATTTCTTGTACAGTGTGATTTATTGTCTGTGTACTAGGGAGTCTCTAGCATCCGGAAGCATTCCTTGTGTGCCCCAGCACACTTGGCGAATAAAGCGGAATCTGATTCCGTGTATTCTTAACATTTGGTATTCACTCTTGCCTTGTCCACACGTACACGGGTATTTTTTAAAACGGTGTTTTTCCTCCTCCGTTTAAAACAAAAAAAAATCCCATCCACACGAACATTGTCTTCTAAAATATTTCCGTCCACATGAAACCTCTAAAATGCGCTGTGAAGAGCATGCCAAACCAACAGGCGGCATTATAACTTTAACCGTACTGCCATGTTAGCCAATCAGAAGCCTAATTGCCAGTCCTGTTGAAAACCATGGCGCACATTCCTACGCCTGTGTTGATCAATATAATGCGAGAGTTACTCAACATTTATCTGTACACATGTAAGAAGTCCTGTCAGCAAGGTTGGCACAAGCACTATTTCGGCTAAGTCCGCCATGTATACAGCAAACAGCACACGCTCTGACGTTAAACAAAGTGGACAACAGCGCACAATCTGACGTTTCAAGCCAAAAACTCTGTTTTCCCTGTCTACATGTTGATGCTGAAAACGGAGTTTCTTAAAATCTTCACCCTGGGTGGAGTTTTGCAAAAGCTCAGTTTTCAGTGACCTAAAACGCCGTTTACGTGTGGACAAAAGCCCGAGACGGATAGAAAAAGGTACGTTTTAAAAAATACCCGTGTACGTATGGACAAGGAATGAAAGTCAGCTGCGTAAAGCGAAGCACCGCCCCCCCCCCAAACCTCCCCGGCCGGTGAAATGCCCGACACCATATGAAATTTATTTCTGGCTATGGGCCTAGTGTAAGGGCGCCGATTTATGCTAGCCAAGCGTTTTTGTGCTCTCAAATAACAGGGCACAAAATTAAGATTTTATCGTATTCACTATTATCCATATTGTTAAACGGGATTGGATATTGGCACCGTGTTCCCGTCTCGATTGTAGATGCTGCTTTAATGTTTTCTGGGCCCAGCATAACAGTACCTTCTAGTGCGCTTGTCCTTTGGTTAAAAACGAAACACGGCTTTTCGGCCCGCGGCGGTAACCCCTCGTACTCGGGTCCGCTATACCGGTGCGGGTCACGCCAGCCGCGGCTCCACTGCGGGAATGTCGCCTTGGCCAGCCCCGGGACGAAGTGCAGCCTTTCAGCGTAGGTGACGCGCTCCAACCCGGGGATATCCACCGTCGCTTTGCGGTTGTTACGCGGCGGTGCCTTCAGGTGTAGACAGCAGCTGACAGAGAAGTGCCGTCCTCCGACGCGATGCCGGGACACATGCAACATATGGAAGACGCTGCAGCATTTCCCAGCTTTCAGCACCAGCAGATTCATTCTGAGAAAACTGAAGGTAACCACCTAGAGCTCAAACAAGTAGGCTATTATATTTCATTCATTGATTATGGTTTGGCCAGTATAATCATCGTACGTAAACACCAAACGTCCTTCTCCCGTGTCTTCTCTAGGAGGCAGCCATCTTGCACTTGGTGGTCCCGGTGCAGTGTGGGTACTGTAGTTCGCCTCGTGGGTGCAATTGACCTCATGGGTAGCGTACTTACCCGTCTTCTGTGCGTTATCCAGTTTTCACTGCGCGACAAAACCTCTAATTGTATTTTTTGTGACTAAATATTGTGAATTAGTACACGTGTACCTTTGAAACCTTCACTGCAGTAGCGCTGCCTTTTTTGTCGAATTTTGACATGGGAGGGTTTTTAAGCGGGAAGAGTTTAATTTTGTACAGAAGAGGCAGCCATCTGCAATAACGTTATGGTTATGGTCACCGCATCTCCTGCACACTCTAAGAATATGTACATTTTAAGTTTTTTTCTTTCCTGAAGGACGTTCATGGCGTTTGATCGTGGCTAAAATGTAGGTATAAACAGAATAATAACCAGTTGGGGGCGCCGTCGAGCTGCAAATGGCATATCCCCGTAATATAAATGAACTTTAAAAAGTAAGAAATTAAAAAGGTGTTTTTGTCCACATTTATCTCTGTTTATTTATGTTTTTCTATTTTGTTCTTGTCAGGTTTACAAAGCTTTACGAGGTGGAATGCATAGTGTGAATTATTTGAAGACACGTCAAGTCCAGAGAGTACTTTACGTTCTGTTAAATACGTTCTTTTTAGTTTTTGTTAAGCATTTCTAAGCATTGTTCTTCTGCTGTAGATACTTCGCGTGACTGAACGTCCCTACTCTGTGTTACGTATGTCAGTGTGCATTCTCCCGCTTGATCTCTTCCGTTTCCACCCACTAGAGGGTGCTGTCATCGCAGGGGCTGGATGGCCCGAAACAGCGCAGTGAACATGACGCTGCTCTGGAAAAGGCTGCTCCAGCTGCTCCGCTTTGCCAGCTTCGCCAGACAAAATTCTGTGCAGAGTTAAAATATCGCTTCTGTAGCTCCGTGCTAAATAGCTGCATTTCCATAAAACAGATAAAATGAGAAATAAGAGTTTAGAGTATGTACAGTGCAAAGTACTTCATCAGTGATTAACGCAGTTTCCTCTTGCTAATTTCTGGTCATTTGCAGTGTGATTCTCTTGCTGGACCATGGCACATCCAGACTCGCACTGCTGTGTTTGATTCAGGTCCTGAAATGTCAGACTTTGATTATGAACCTGTGGCTCAGCAAACATTTTATGTGTTATTCCGGCAGAGCATCTGGCAGGGAGTGATGCAATGGTGCGGCCCGGGTAAGAGAAACCAGCTGGGTCACAAATACCATGGCGACAGCGTTACCGAGGCGGGACAGGGGCATCACCCAGCAGGGCAAGAAAGCACTGGGCATTTGCAGCTGCACCAGGGACCATCTGACTCTTGATGCTTGTACATGACTTTGGATAAAAGTGTATGCTATGCAAATAACATGTAAATGTTCCTGAGCCATCATGCTCCCTGTAGCTATCTGCTCATTATCAGACAAAATTGCTGTTTTTATTGATTTGTTGGCATTTTGGAGTTTTTGGCACATGTTCTGCAAGGGATAAACCACAGACGTGTGTGTCTGTGCTGCTGGGCCGGTCAGGACTGTCAGGCTGCAGTCCTGGGTCACTCTGCTTTCAGTTTGAGGACACGGATGTGAGGCGAAGCGTATGGGGTATGTTGGCAGGCTGCGTTTGCCTGCGGCTTCAGGGACACGGATGCGAGGTGGAGCGTGTGGGGTATGTCGGCAGGCTGCGTTCGGCATACTTATTCTCCCATAACACAGAACATCTGCAAGCACAGCCGGTAATGATACTTAGTTACATTTCAATGCATTTTTCTCATTAATAAAATAAAATCCTATTAAAACTGCTGAAGATTTGGGTGCTCCCTTTGACTGCAGCATGTCGTTGGCGTGTTAGCATGGAGAGACTCGCATAATGGAGAGCACACGCATGTGGCCCATCCTGTCACTGCCCTGCCTCCATATGTTTCCAAACAGCACTCTGACAGACCAGCTGCCCTCATGTGAAATACAGCAGGATTCAGTCGCAGTCATGAAACTTTTAGTGATGGGAGGGGGTTGGGATCGTGTTCCTCATTCATCCTGGGAATCAATTATTAAGCTTTTGATCAAATGCCCCCCATCCGACGGACTCCTTCTGCACTGGCCGTCGCTCCCGCCTCGCCTTCGGGACAAATTCGCCTGACAAAAACCAGCCGCATCATGCGATCTAGGGTCACTCTCTTTTATCTGCTCTGTGCTTTTGGCAGAACAGCTTCCAAAAAAGGTAAGACAGAAAGGTGAAGACACTTTTTCACAGCTGCCATGAATATTTCTGAATCAGCATAATTAATTTTATTTTACTGGAGATGAATATTTTGAGTGTTGATTTGTGGCTGTATATCGTGCTTTTGGTGTTCCTGATTTTTCCTAGAAAATAATTAAGTACATTTCAGAGGAGCTGACTTAACCCTCAGGGATAAATGCTCCTCATTCTCTGAATTCCTCGGCATGAGTCAAGCTGCTTGCTCCTGGTCGGATGGGTACAGCATGATAAAAGCTGTATTGTGTATTTGCATTGATCCACTCAATGGAGCAACGGACGGTGGAGTCACATTTCAGGTGGCTTGGTAAACTGTGACCGTGACCAGTCAGGAACACTGTGAGATTAAATGGATCGAAGCCATGATTTAAATTCAATTGTCTTCTTTCAAAGTATGGAAAGAATGAGTCTCGACTCATGATTGCTATGCCACAGTGGCGGTATCGCAGTTCATCAATATGCCAGCTCCCTGACATTAATTGGAATAGAAACAGTGTCTCATTTCAGAGGATGTTTGATTAGCGTTTTAGAAACATTGTCATTTTGTGATATAAGATGCAGAATAATTTCGATACATCCAACAACAATGAGGCAGGTCTCCAAGGCCAGTTCCCATGGTGACGTAAATGGAATGCCCCACAGGATCTAAAAAATATTCTTCCCATTTGTGTTACCGTCACTTTTATCAGTGGTGTGGGGGTCTGATGGTCTCACGTGGAAGGGCAGCCCTTGTATCAGCTGTAGTTCCTCTTTATTTTCTGTCCCCCACAGGGGTGAAATGTGGAGGCATCCTGTCAGCACCCGTGGGCAATGTGACCAGCCCCAACTTCCCGGGCCTGTACCCATACAGCACAGAGTGTTCCTGGCTCATCGTGGTGGCTGAGGGCTCCTCTGTACTTCTCACCTTCCACCACTTCGAGCTGGAGTACCACGCCGACTGTGCCTACGACTACATCAAGATATACAACGGCGTGGCCGACGACGAGGGCAACCTGCTTGGCAAATTCTGCGGGGACATCTCACCTCCTCACTTCACGTCCTCCTGGAACGTCATGTCCATTATCTTCCGCTCTGACCGGCATGTGGCGCACAGAGGTTTTGCAGTCGGATACCGGAAAGGTGATGGAGGCGGGGGTGATAACCCAGCGGGGGCGGGGGGGCATGGGGAGCACGATCTCTGACCAGAGCTGCAAAGTCACAGAGGGTTTAGGCAGGGAAATGGGGGGTAAAATAGGGGAGAGCGTGGACAGGACCCAAGCTCTCAACAGGCTGCACAATCATTCGGCCAACAGCAGTTCAGCTTTTAAAAATGGCTGTTTTTAAGGAAGCTGAGCAATCATTCAGCTTGAATGATTGTACAAAATAATGAGTGACGATCGGGGTGAAATAGCACCTTGCTCTGCTCTTTCAGATGGTGTTCTTCCCCTCTCATGGTCTTCATGTCGCCCCCCAGACATGTGTGGTGGAGTCCTAACTGGGCTGTCAGGCACCATTTCCAGTCCGGGCTACCCCCTAGAGTACAGCAACAATGCAGACTGCTCCTGGACAATTCACGTGTCCAACCGCACTGTGGTCACCCTGGTCTTCATGGACTTCCAGCTCGAGAACAACCAAGGATGCAACTTTGACTATGTGGCCCTGTTTGACGGGCCCACTGTCACCCACAGGCACCTGGGGAACTACTGTGGGAACAGCTTCCCACCAAACACCGTCACCACCTCCAACCAGCTGCTGCTGGTCTTTAAGTCTGATTTCAACATTGGGGGAAGAGGATTCAAGGCCTACTACTACTCAGGTGAGGAATACCGAAGGCACACTCTGGCAGAAAGCGTGACATGGAGACGTTTTATTTCACTCAGACTGTGTGACCCCTCTGGCTTGTCAGTTACCCATTTTTCTGTCCCCAGGTAACAGTAGATCTCTTCCAGCCTCATGCTTAGCAAGTGATTTTAGATATTTTAATGTTCTTCTCCCATTTTTCTTGTTCTTGATCCAGGAGAATGTCAGCAGGTCCTAAGCACGATTAGAGGGAACTTCACTAGCCCACGCTACCCTAGCATCTACCCCAACAACATCCACTGCCACTGGACTATCTCACTGGCATCTGGCTACCGCATCAAGCTTTTCTTCAACAGCATGGATCTGGAAGACAGGAACAGCCTGACAGATGACTGCGACTATGATTCCGTGGCAGTGCATGATGGGAGCAGCGAGTCGGACAACGTGCTGGGCCGCTGGTGTGGGTCAGAGAAGCCTCCGTCGGTGCTGTCTACGGGAAACAAGCTACTGATCGTCCTCACCAGCGACCGCAATGCAGCCTATAAGGGCTTCTCTGCAGCATACACGGGGGGTAAGCATCCGTGCACTGGCCATTCATGGCACATTTGACCAGGAGAGTGAGCCAGGGTGCACTAATGATGAAGTCCTGAGGTAGCTTAATCCGGTGTTTTAACTATTTATGATACTAATACTAAAACCTAGCGACAGACAAATTGACGCTTCATGAAACACTTGCACCACTAGATGGTGCTCTTGGTTCACTTTAGGGCATTCTTTGTGTCCTTTTTTTTGAACATAGAGCACCATCTAGTGGGATCAAAAAATACAGCATATGGTTCATGAAGCATCATTTTGTCCATCACTACTAAACACATTTCTGCATCCTGCGTAGACGAATGATGCCGCAGTGACACTGCTTCTGCATGCCTCTCTTTGGGGTTTAGTGGTGCCCATCAACGTCAGCTGCACCAGGACAGAGTTCCAGATCCAGATAAACAGGCAGGCTCTCCCACAGCTGGAGCATGACAGCATCTACCTGGGGAACCCCTCCTGTCCAGCCCAGATGACAGCCTCTGAGTACAAGATCTTGGCGCGCTTCGTTAACTGTGGCACAGCTGGCCAGGTAAGGGGCTGTGCGCTCTCACCATAACCTTTAGTGTTTTGCCGGGCCCCGCTGGGGAGGCGCAGAGTCCTCAGGAGGCCTCTGCCAACACTGTGCTCCTCTCACAGAAACGCAGGAACATCACGGTGCTGGTAAATACCCTGTACATCGACCTGTCTGACGGCAAGCAGGGGGACATGCAGGAGTACGAGCTGCTGTGCGACGCGCAGAGGAAGATGGCGTCGGCAAGCATTGTGACAGCCGAGGAACGGGAGCGGCTCAATGAGCTGGCGAGGCGTGCGGAGGGGGCCGCCCGCACTGGGGAGGGCCAGGCTGAGGAGGCCCCGCCTCATGACACCAGCGACATCGTCTTCATCAGCATCTGCGTGCTGGCCGTCATCCTCATGGTGATAGCTATTGTATGGCTGGTGCTGCTCTAGTGTGCCCCCCTCAGGAAATGAGGGTAGCTGCGAAGGCCCTTAATTTTTTTTTAAAGTGACAGGTGATACAACTTTGATGAAATTTCATTTATTACTATCGTCAGCTTTTTTTTACCCTTGATTAGATCACAGGGTGGGTCCCCGTGTCAGCTTTCCTGGTCTTGTCAACAGAGAGTGCACACAAATGTGTGTGTGTGTGTGTGTGTGTGTGTGTGTGTGTGTGAGAGAGAGAGAGAGAGAGAGAGAGAGAATAGGTGGGCTCTGACTGAACCAGCACCTACTGAAAGAGGAAGGGATGAAGTATTACCACACTTTCCTACTGATGGACATGGACGTGTGATGGGTCTTGGACTGTTTTCCATCCAGTCCGCAATCAGTATTAAAAGCTGGATTTGGCTCAAAACAACTTAAGTATCTCTCTCAAAAATTTCATCATTGGGAGTCTTTCTGATCATCCATGATTTTCATAATTGATACAGTGAGTTGTTCAGTGAATTTAATGAGAAGGTATCTTTAATGTAAAAAAAAGAACCACAGTAAAACAAAATCACAATAACCGACACCTTAAAAACTGTACGGAGGTAGAATTACAAACTGTGAAGTAGAAATGTCTGCCGCAGATCTCCTCCTCAGGAAGGCCACCCCCTCCCTGGTTCAAGGCCCTGCTCACTTCTTGTGCTTGAGGACTAGCTCACCGATCGGCATCTTACTGTCCTTCACTTGCACACAGATTTCGGGTTTGTGCTTCAGCGAGAAGACCAGGGTGCGGACCGTCCGTCTGTACGAGCCGCTAACCAAGCGAGAGCATTGGTGGAAGACCTCCCTCTCGATGTTCTCGACGAGGACATGATCTTTCTGTAAGACAGGCAACAAACAAGCCATTAAAGACAATTTTAGAAGATCATGGGTCTAAACTTGAATAAACTTGGTGCTAATTGTAAATGAATAGTACAAGTCAGAGCCATGCGGTTCCCTGAGGTGCACTTGCTGCTGGTCAGGGGTTACCTCCAGGCCCATGGCTTCTGCTAACAGCTTCCGGGCGTTCTGCCTCAGGCCCTCAGACTGCCGGTCACACCGCACCTCGATGGAGGGTCTGCTGGAGTTCTCCTCAACACTGCTCCTCCACATGGTGTAAACCTGCCCAGCTAGCCGCCTTACATCTGTATCTGTGTGCTTGCGCATTTTATTAACTGTGTGACCTGCAAAGCACATGCAGTCACCACTGTGTGTGTGACATATCACATTTATCAATGAAGACCAGGGTCTTTGTGATATCAATGAGATCAGTTTATGTTAACAAGTTGCTTCTGCATCACATCGAGGATGGTTATTAAAGAGACATGTGAAGTCTTACCTATTTTAGTGGATCTGAGTACCTCTTTGGACGGGATCTTTTTGCCGAGCTCCTTTAGGGCCGTCATTATGTTTTCTTTGGTCTGTCCAGGCAGCTCCAGCATTGACTTAAACCTCTCAATGTCCTCTATTACGACAACTCTCTAAATAAGAAATCGTTTATTTTGTGAACTGCCGCAGAGTATCTCTAGACCAATAATAATAATAATAATGGCAACTTACCCGTAACGATTCTATTGTAACTTGCCTGTAGATTTTGCCTTCAGACTTGCTTTCCTTTTTCAACTCTCCTTTTGGTAGCTTTACAACAAATTTGTCCATTTCTCCGTTTCACGTTACCATCTGCAGCTTAGTAGGACATACAGTCAGGGGCTAAGATAGGTGGCGGCCACCGGTATCAACAATGCTAAAGACACTGGGAAGCAAATGAGAGCCATTTTGGCTCTTTGCATTTGCATCGGCGCTGTCACGAAAGTCTGTCATTTTGGCTCTATGTATCAGCATCGGGGCTGTCACGAAAGTCAGTCATTGTGGCTCTACGCCCTCTTAACAAGATAGGGCGCGACAATCCATGCATACTCCCAGCTATATCGCGACGCTTTATTTTGGGGATCTCCATGAGGCACGACATAAAGTTCTCAGTAGGAAATCGCCCCTCCGTTAATGCTTGGGGCAGTTTCCTTCCGGTCTCCGTTTGGTCGTAATCTCGCGTTATCTTCCGAGACTTAGCGAGAGGAGAAGGCGGAAGAGCGAGCTGAAGGTAGAGGTTTGTTTTGACGTTCAGCGGCGAACATGGAGGCGCGGATATTTCTCGTCGCTGTGGTGAGTCTGTGCTGTTTGCTGCTTTGTACTTCGGTGTCTGCAGACGTATTCGACGGCGTCTTGGGGAATACCGCATCCTGCCATAAGACCTGCCAGCTGACCTATACCCTGCACACCTATCCTCGGGTGAGTTTCCAGGGCCTGGGCGGAAGCCGCCCTCCAGCCGCCGGGCACCGCAGTTCGTACGCGGCTAGGAGTTGCCGTGGCCGCTGCTCTGCCTCTGCATTTCACCCGTAAGGTTTCGAAGTAATGGCGGCTTGTATTTGAGGTGTGGCGTATTTATTTATTCTGCAGGAGGAAGAGCTGTATGCCTGTCAACGGGGTTGTCGTCTGTTCTCCATCTGTCAGTTTGTGAGCGATGGCGAGGAACTGAACCAGACTAAGTCCGAGTGCGATTCAGGTACCGCCATGGTCTGTGTTTGTTTCCTTCGCGGTTCTACAGTATTTCGGTCTTTACTAAGTAGGTGGCTTGTGTCACGTGACCGCCAGCAATGGCCGGGCAGCTTTTATTATCGGTAAAGTTAAAGGACGTCGGACGCTGTGCTGAGAGCTAATTCTGCCCCTCATGCAGCTTGCCGTGAGGCCTACAGCCAGTCCAGTGAGCAGTACGCCTGCAGCCTAGGCTGCCTGAACCAGCTGCCGTTTGCCGAGCAGAGACAGCAGCAGGTGGGTCACCACGGGTCCTGCCAGCGCCCCCTGTCCTGCCAGCGCTCCCTGCCCTGCCCCGGAACACGGGTGGCGGACATTCCATCCGAGTTAAACAAATCCTCCTTTAGTAATCATGTAGTATCCAAGTTAAAGTCCTACAGGTCGTTAAGTTATCATTTTTTTAAGGTAAGGTTAATTGTGTAAATGATCCTGGGTTTTTAGAAAAGGGCAGATGGCTTTGTATTGCATTTTCATGTGCTATTCAGCTTCCAGGTGTCCATATACAAAGTAAGAACAGCTGTTTAAGCCTTTTGCTGCTCTCCTGGCTTGTGCAGCTCTTGGCCATGGTGCCCAGGATCCACCTGCTGTACCCCCTGACTCTGGTGCGTGGCTTCTGGAACGATGTCATGAGCTCTGCCCACAGCTTCATCTCCTCTTCTTGGACGTTCTACCTTCAGGCGGACGATGGGAAAGTGGTCATATTTCAGGTGATGCCGCTGCACAGAGTAAACAGTCCGCTGTCATTTGTAATAATGTAATTCGATCCACCGGGATTCTTTATTCACAAGGTGTTCCTGATCTACACCGCAGCCTTCACACTTGTTTGCTTTCTGAGCATATGTGTACTGACGAATTTCCCAATCTCAGACTGAGCCTCAGATCCAGTTTGTCCCGCCATTTGAACTACCGCAGGATGGAGAGGAGCAGCCTCTGCTCCCATGTAGGTTTCTTGCCGCCAAATCTCCTCGCAGCATTTTCCACTGCCAGGTTTGCTCTGTGGTCACTGACTCTTGCTGATGTTGTAGCCAAACCTGTTTATAAAGACTACCAGCGCTCCTTCATCCAGGAACGGGACCGGTACATGTTCGCAGACAGAGGCCATGCTGAGGAGGACTACAATCTGTTCAGTTGTCTTGCAAGGTTGGTGTACAGAAGATCTGCAGTACTTTTCTAGCCCTGTAGAGAGATTCTGACATATCACTGTGAAGCTGTTCTGCTAACGTATAATTTCGTGTAAATGTGCACCCTCCTGTGGGGAATTTATAAACCTGTCTGTTGTGGAAGGTTTTCATTCCTGGAGTTAAGCATGGATTAAAGAAGAATGTCAGGTTGTTATGCCTCAGGTAATCTGCTAGAGAGGATTGTTGACTGATCTGCGAATCCTCAGCATACCAGCTGGTTGTGTGTCGCGTGTTTGAGCCAGCTGAAAAATTAAACATAGCATAAGCATATGCTGACCTAGCCTGGTTTTAATGGTTTAATAGATGCTGTTGAACCATCTGATCCTGTGTACAGTGAACATGGCCGTCCTGCGTGTGACTGCGACGGACTGCCCTCAGACTCTGCTGCTCTGTTTCCCTGCTCAGGAACCCCTGGCTTCCGGGCTGGATCCTGACCACTACACTCATTCTCTCGGTTTTGGTCCTAATCTGGATCTGCTGTGCCACTGTTGCGACGGCCATGGACCAGTATGTGCCAGCGGAGGTGAGCCCCCATCCTGTTCAGTTTGTGGCTTAGATGGTGCCGGACCTTTGGACCTGGAGGGTAACTGCTGGCCTCATGCCTTTTGTAACTGCAGAAGCTGAGTATATACGGAGACATGGAATATGTGACGGAGCAGAAGCTGACGCCGTACCCACCATCCTCCCTTGTCATCATCAGCTCATTGGCAGAGGAAGAGGCGGGGCCTCTGCCATCTAAAGTCAGCCTCAACCAGTCCAATATTTAGGGGGGGGGGCTCAGCATTCTGTTCTCTTTGGATCTTTCTATTTGCGTTTGTAATATCGACTTTCGGAGCCCTTTGTATGTCTTTTCTGAATCCTGGTTTTTCATAGAGATCCTTCGTAGGGCTGAGGGGGTGAATTCGTTTGTTTGTATATTTGCACTCTTGCTGCCACGCCCTGCGCCCTCTCTGTGTGGCGTGCTGTCCTTTCCAAGCATTACCATGTAGTCTGGTGTGGAGTATAAATTTCCTGTTTTCTCTCTATATGAAGGACGCGTGAGGATGCATTGCCTCTGTGTGACCTGCCGTAAATTCGGGACTGTCTGTGCTGATTGACTCCGAATTTAATGCCATGGACTTGAATTGCACTATTTTTCTCTCAATTCTTTCTTTAAAATGGTTGAATTTTAACCATGTTGGAAACTTGGAGTAAGAAATGAGGCCTGGTACTGGCCACAAGGGCACCTCCAGGGTATGCTGACAAGTCATCCTGGGCACTGTACGAGTTTGCCTTTGTGTTCATTAAAATGGGTTAAAAGCTGTGTATCGTGTATTTTGTGGGCTTGTATTCCAAGTATGTAGTCAAACCTGGCATTGCTTTTTGAGGCTTTCAGTCTGACCAGTTGGCTGTAGTTTTTCACGTGTCTTGTGGACTCCTGTGTGGCAGTGAGCAATGAGGACTTAGTGTCCAAACAGGCCTAGATGTTCTCATTGGCTGGAGGGGGTGACCGTGGGGCCGTGGTGTGCTGCTGCTACTCCTCAGTGCAGAGCTCAGCCCATGACAGAGCCCCACCTCAGGTGACACCCACCCTGTACCCCAATGCCGGTTCCCTGGGTTTTGGCGCCCCTCAAGCTGGCCCTGCCACCCCCACGCCTTTCCCAGCGTCGCTCGGCGCTGACTCATCTGGGTGCTGTGTTCCCTCCATATAATAATGGCTCTATTATATTTCCTGTCAAGATGAATCATTAAGATGAAATCAAAATGGAAATGTGGCTATTGGGCTTAAAAATTTGGAAAGTTGATGATACAGAGAAAAACATTTAATAACTTCATTAAAAATATACATTTCTTTGTTGAATGATGGCATTAATTCCAGTTCTAAAATCGGGACATTTCATTGGATCCTGCTTTGGCGGTGGCTGGATGGGGAAGGTTCCAGTGGGAAGGGCCAGGGCCTCAGGCCATAGTGCTCAGTAGCTGCTCAGTAGCTGTTCAGCAGATCCCAGTCCTCCACAGTCAGAGGGACCGCTTTCTGCTTGGCCGGGGGGCCTGGATGGGGGGCTGGATAGCTGGCCTCCCGCTTCCTCTTTTTTTGTGACGGGGGAGCTTTCTGACCGTCTGCACCTGATGTCTGCCCTGTCTTTTGGCTGCTGGAAGCAGCTTTACAGAAATGAATCCTGGTTTTCTCATCATCCTCCTCCTCCTCCTCTTTACCCGAAGATGCTCCTTTAGCTGCTTCATGGACAAACCTCTTTCTTCCATCTAGAAGAGAAACACATGGGTAGCGATGATGACGTGTAAGGAAAGGGTTCTTACTTACATATATTTTGCAGATGCTTTTGTCCAAAGCAACGTCCAAGTGTAAAGCCTGAATTATACTTCTGCTTCGAGCCCATGCCATCGCGGGCATTTATACTTGTCGTGTTTGTGTCGCTGTGCAGCTACAACACCAAAACACGAGGTGATACATAGTTCTGGATGTTGCGTCTTCCCACCCTGCAATATATTCAATTGTTGAATCTTGGAATTGAAAAGGAAAAAAAAAATTAGTATCCATTAATGGAGTCCTGGTTACATTTTTACTGCTCCAAACTTTCCATAGACAAATTTAGAAAAAAATCTTGTCAAGTATGAATAAGTAATGGAGGTAAGTGTAACCGGCGCTGTCATCCTGAGTGTTTTATAGACCTGTTGCTATGATGCCTAGGGTGGGTTATTTAATGCCACATTTAAATAGCATTTCAGTTTCAAACAGCAATATAAGTACACCTGGGATGTACACTTTCTTCACTCATAAAAAAAAAAAAACAAAACTTCCAAGCAGACTAATCACAGTTGTTGCGGTCTGTGTCACCGTGATGTGCAGTGACAATTCTGGGGAGATGCGGATCAGGCTACAGCATAGGGTCCACAGCTATGCTGTACTTAGTGTCGATTCTATGCAGATTGATAAATCAGCCTTAAGCAAGAACCTAACAGGACAACTCTTAAACATGTCTGAATGTGTGTAGGAACGGTGCTGAACCCACAGAAGCGAAGCACGTTGTCTCTTTGAAGGGAAGCTCTCAGCTTTGACGACTCAGCCCTGCAGATCTCCCACTGGTTAACCACCTGAAGAAAGCAAGTCAATTCACAGTCATTTTCCACATCTCTGTTGTAGCCAGTAATGCACCTAAAATAACTTTACTAGATTCAACATATAATAGTAACATTTTGTGATGTCTTTACTGTTACCTACATCATGTTTTTTCAGTACTTAAGTCAAATATGGAGTCAAACTCAGCATGTTGTAAATAGCAGCAGTTCTGACCTGCTCTGCCCAACCCCGCGTCTTACAGCGTGAATGACACAGGTCCGTCAGTGGGACCTCAGAAAGCACAAGTCCCATGCCATCACAGAAGGTCTGCTTCACGCGCTCACTGATCTGAAAAGCAGCAAGGCAAGCTTGAACGGGTCTCTCCCTGGGGTATTTACCACAAATAGAGATAGGTGTGAAATCCTGGAATGTCAGCTGTCACCTGAATTTCCGTCCCTGACACGTCCAGCCCTTGTAGGGCTGAGAAGCAGGTCAGATACCCAACTGCCTGCTCACTGAGAGGGTTGTCTTCAGGAGACAAGATCATTTCATGTCAGTGTCTTTCTCCAAGAGTAAAATAATAAAATTGTATGACACAATACAAACACATTATGAAAATATCTCACAGGACAAATCGAGCAGCTTCAGACAGTCGAGTCCTCTCTTCATCACTCTAACAGGTGCAGTCAGCTTTCTCAGCCCATAATCAGAGAGGATATTATCTCCCAGAGACAGCCAGGTGAGACTGCAGGAGAGACTTCCCTGAATGATGTTTCCCTTTAAATTGCCCACTGCTTTAATGGCACTAGATTATGCTGTAACACTACAGATTCTGGCATATACTATATGAAAATTATATCAAAGGGACAAAGAAATGTAGTGTTTTAGATACGTCAAAGAGCATTTAATTTTCCTCACCTGGACAAAGCCTCCGAAGTCAAGTGTGGAAGAATCTCATGGTTATCCCCAAGTTTACAACCGTAAAGGTCTAAACTCTTAAGATTGTGAAACATTTTGATCTCCTCCAGCTTTTCTGACACTAGGAGGTGTCTTTAAAAAAAGCGAAAGGGATCAGTCATCACATAAGTTATGATTTACACTTATACGAAGGCGGACGGTGCTAGGGGGATTGCCACCTTTTCCTGAGACAGAGCGATTTAAGCACCAGATCCCCGTAGGCTTCGCTGAAGAGGCGCAGAGCACGGGTTCCCGACTCAGCATCGGCGAACTTCTGCTTCTCCTCTGCAGCTATGAAGAGCTGCTCCGCTATTTGCTCGGGAAAACCGACGAGAGAGTCGATGTGCTGCACATTTTCGGCAACGAAGAGCAGTGCCATTTTAAAGAGGGACTTGGCCGTGTACCGAAGGTTGCCCTCTTTCGTGTACGTGAAGACGAAATGCTCCTTTCTCCTGCAGATGCTGACCGGAGCCTGGGATCCGCCGTCCCCCCGGAGCCGCACGGAGAAGCCCCTTGGGAAGGGCCTGGACGGCGGTACCCTGCAGTGCCTAAGCGACCCGAGTGCCAGTGAACTGTCATTCAGACAGCGGAGCTCACCGTTTTCCCGGATGAAAACAGGGCCGCTAGTTTCGTAGTTTTCCCAGGAACACATTGTGAGGTTTAGTGTGATCACTAACCCCGAGGAGAACGAAAAATGCCCTCAACACCGGCAGGATGGTTAACCCAGCGGAACCGAGCAGCTTCTTTTAGCGCGTCGCATCCGCATGTTTAGTGTAAAGGCTCAGAAAACACATACAACTAATGGTTGAAACAGCCCTAGACAAAAGCGGCGAGCACGCTCACGGACAGCGGCTTTATTTACGGTCCGACCCGCATAGCGGTCCGATGTGCAACAGTGAACAGTGTTCCTATGTGTTAGGGGTTAAATAAATGTGATCCAAAAACCATCGTTAAAATAACTACTATACTTCATTTATTGAGGACGAATAAGTTTTTCGGGATTCATTTTGCAGTTATTGAAAAAGTACAAGGGTCGTTAAATACAACTGATTATTTAGTTTACCCATGCATTAGAGAAAGAGATGTATGGCAATGCTACTCTGGATAGGGTAACACTTTACTCGACGGGGCACAAATACTTAGTAATAACTCAGTTACTACTGAAGTACAAATTATGAATGAATCATGAACAAATATAGTTCCTACTTGAGATAAAAGGTACGTCACGATTCATTAATGATGAGCAAACATGAGATCGGTATTTCACGTGTTATTCGATCATTGCTTGTTCCTTCAGTAGTTCATGAAGGTTTACAGAATTAGATATAGTCACAAATATAGTAACTGCTTGGGTTGAAAGATGCGTCATGATCGAGTTATTTTAGCAAGCATCTAAAAATGTGAACGACAGATACATTTATGATGAGTGTCTCAAAAACAATAAATTAGCTGATTAGCGCAAGCCAGCAAACTTATTTATATAGTAATAGGAGTAGCTAATAATCTAACTCCTGCACATATCTAGTAGTCATTGAGTGCGAACATACTAGCATACTCATGGAGATACAGTACTAGCCGAATCCCACTTAGACTGTTTTGTAGGAATACATCGAAACAAGATTATCTTGTGCTAGAAATCACACTGGCCTCATTCAGTGCCGAAAAACTTTGTAACAAACATCTGCATTCAAAGTCGCCAAGTCATTGTAGATATTGGCCACTGCCGCATATGTATAAGAATACTATACGAATGAGCATTTACTTGTTCCTTTTCCTTTTCCATACTGTTTGCCTGAATGACGACGTAGGGAAGTAACACGTGGCCGGAAGTATGTGTCCGGAAGTGTTGATGTTTACTTATCCTGGTTTGTTTTATCAACGTTAAACTACACATTGGTAGGTTTTTACAGTGTTTTGGGAGATTAATGGTCACTCGGTAAATTACTGGCTATCAGACTACGCACCTGGCGCGAATAACATGGCTTATACTGATGTACTAGATGTCGGGGCTTTTGACTGCGCTGGAGTTTAAATGTTGCTGAATAATAAGGTCTCTGTGCTTGTATAGTTATGAGAAAATTATTTACAGGAGAATTACTGAAGGACCCGCGATTAGTACTGTGGGAGAGCTGAAAGTGGGATAGATACAGAAAGTTCCCATAAACTGATTGCTAGCCGATTATTACGTATCGCTGTTATTCAGTTGCAGTATCAGTGAATCACATCAATACCCTGAATAATTAATTAATATGCCCTGGATGACTGATGATAATTCTCCTGCTTTCTTCCGTTTTTCCCCTAATATCAAGGTACATTTTCTCTTTCTGTCTCCCTCTCCGTGTCTTTCCGTTTCTCCTGTTCACGGACAGCTGAGCTCTGCTCCGGGGTAACAGATCAGTCTGATGTGTCCTGATGGCTGCGGCCGACGACCTGCGCTTTCAGGGTGAGTCGCCATCCGCGTCCTATTTCATAAGGCAAATTCCTAATTTCGGTCTGTTTCGGGCTACAATTGTAAATGGTTTGAAATGTTTCTGCTGCTTTCCCAAAAACGCCTGAATGTTAGAATTTGATGACGCCGAGAGCCTGCTGGCTGTAAACAGGGAGGCCACTACTATTAGTATCGAGGATCCTGGCAGCAAATCCCACAAGCCGAGGAGAGTGGCCCGGGAGAAGGACGACGACCACAGCCTCATTGGGGACACCGACTCTGACAAAACTGAGGTTATAAAAATCAACACATTCGTTATTAGCCCAACCAATCTGCATATGATTAGACAACTAACAGTGCCACATCTAATCTCTGTTGCAAAACATTTGCTTGCTTGTAGCTTCTTGCAGGTCAGAAGAAAAGTGCCCCCTTTTGGACTTTTGAGTATTACCAAACTTTTTTTGATGTAGAGACCTATCAGGTACTTTGCCTCTCAATTACGTCATTCTTTCTTTCTTTCAAGATTATACTGTATATTTAGTTGATGAACCACATTCTTGCTGACTCTAAAATATTCCTAGGTTCTGGACCGAATTAAAGGGTCCATTCTCCCATGGCCTGGGAAAAACTTTGTTAGACTCTATGTTCGCAACAACCCGGATCTTTATGGTAAGTAAGTAGGCTGTGTGTCTCTCTAACATGTCACACAGTATTTTCAGGCTAAGCAGAAATGAAGGTCTGGGTTTCTGCTTGTTCTTTGAGGACCCTTCTGGATCTGTGCCACCCTGGTGTTTGCCATTGCCATAAGTGGAAACATCTCCAGCTTTTTGCTCTGCCTTGGCAGACCTTCCCATCGCTATGTGCCAGAATTCAGCAAAGGTCAGTTGCATTCAGCACAACGCAGGGTCTGGCTCTTTATAACGTTACCGCAGCGCTGGGGCGTAGCGAGTACCAGGTGGTGCTGACTGCAGCATACTGACGAAGGTTTAATTCCCCTTTTTTCCAGTGACGCTGGCAGCCACCGCCATCTACAGTTATGCCTGGCTGGTGCCACTCATCCTCTGGGGTTTCCTGCTGTGGCGGAACAGCAGAGTGATGAACGTCGTGTCCTACTCCTTCCTGGAGATTGTTTGTGTCTATGGATACTCCCTCTTCGTGTTCATCCCTGCTGCGGTGAGAGCATGAGTGTGGGAGCAGCTGTACCGATGGGCCTGTGCCAGTCACCTGTAAAAAGGGACATGAACCATGGAAAGGAATTCTTTACAGGCGTGTTTCTTATATGAACACTCAGATTTTACAAGTATTATAAAGAGTATTGTAAACCTTAAAATCCTGACAGAACCATCTTTGTTGAGTGTAGTGGACTTAATAGCTGTGGTGTCTCCATGTTCCATGGATGGCAGGTCCTGTGGATCATTCCGAGTGAGAGCGTAAGGTGGCTGTCCATCCTGGTCGCCATGTGTCTCTCGGGTTCAGTTCTGGTGCTGACATTCTGGCCCGCAGTCCGAGATGATCATCGCAGGATTGCCCTGGCTACCGTTACAGTTATCATTACCCTGCATGTCCTGCTTGCAGTAGGTTGTAAGGTAAAGATACTCGGTCTAAATATCAGTGCATGGTCACGCCTTTTACTGCTTGGTCAAAGGACACCCTGAGATCCTTGGGCCCTGAGTCTGTTCTCTACTGTGACTGAGTTAGCTGCCAGTGATGCTTCTTGCATTCAGTGACTGCCTGCTTTAAGACATGCTTCCACTAGGCCTGATGTCTTCAGTTAGTGCTGTGCCCCACTCTGTCATATAGGTGGCGCCTGTGTGACAGGATGTGCTCCTTGGTGTTGTCTAGGTGCCCCCCTTAAAGGCAGTAATGCTGATCTGAGTCGTCCATTTGACTTTAGGAGTATTTCTTTGACGTGCAAGACATAACAGATCCTGCCAGTTCTGTCGGCAACCTTGCTGGCAATAAAACGGCGCTGGCAGCAAAGCCGCAGTGAGATGGTACGGCTCCCCGAGGTGAGTTCTGCCGCAGTGAACAGTACAATGTGCAGTGAAATGCTTGCTTGCCTAGCTCCAAGACACAGGGAACATAAGTATAATGATGGACATCCCTAAATCTCATTCACTGAGGTGGCGACTGCTACTTTAAGTTGTGTTTCCTTGACCCCACTGTCCTGCTTCCCTGTCTCCTCTCTGGCTTGCGCACGGATATGTTACGTGTGACAGGGCAGCTGTAAACGTACTGGAAATGTAAAATTCCATCAACAAGCTGAACATAGGTTGTAATGTAATAGTGGTGTGCAGTATTTCATTTGAACATTTGGCTGTGTAACATAATATGTAACGTGATGCATCACACTACCTTCCTGTGCACATTTTCACATTCCCCAGTCAAGTGTTATCCTTTTTAAATTCAGCTTCTCTTGTTGCCTTGATGCAGAGCATTGAGTTGCAGTGTGGAAAACGCCGTTGGACGTGCAGAAGCTGCCACAGCGTGACTGTGAACTGCTCTCGGCAGCTCCAGGAGGGGACTTTGGTTCACACATACGATGAGTCTGAAACTGCCTTAAAGACTTTGCTGTCTGTGCCATTACTGAGTGCCTCAAATATAGGTGCACTGTAAATCATGTAGAGGCTGCTGTTCTGGTGCGGAAAATTCCATAACGCTGTTAAAACTGTGTACAGAGAACATACGCGCTTAACGTTTGCCTGTGACTGGGTGTGTTTGCCTGTGCATGTCTGTTGTGGTGCCATAGCAGTTTCCCACTCCCGGTGTGATCCTGGTTGTCTCTGAATGGGTCAGTCACTATCCAGCATTCTTAGCCATCATTAAGGTAAAAGCCCTGCAGAGCCGCTTCGTAGCAGGATGTCTTAGGCGGGGCTCAAATATTAAATCTAAATTTAGAGTCAGGGTCCTTTTTATAGTAAGTCCAGTTCTCAAGTGATACTCTTACACCAAAGGAATGTGGCTGGATAAAAGACAGCTGTCATTTGCTGTCTTCAGCAAGGATGTCTGCTCATGTCATGGTGGTGGAGGTGGTGGTGGTAGCGACCTGGAGAACATTTACTGTATCATTTTATGAAATGGGCGTGTTTATGTTATTGATGGATCATTATTACATTTTTATCAATAAAAATATCCAATTATGTTTCCCTTTGGCCTTATAGTTTTGAAGTTAACCACGGTTTTCATAATGTTTTTTATTATTTCTGTTTAACGGTGCTTTTGCCTTCGATGGACAGTGATGTTGTAAAGCGGTATACCAGGTCTGACCCATCCCAAGGATTAAATATTCAAAGGAAAGAATGTAATCAATATGGATTCACGTAATTGAATGGTAACCAGACAAGCTGCTTCCAGACACCGGTTAATTTTATGTATTTAAGTATTTAGTTAATTAGATCAATCTGGCATTTCATACCAAGAACGCACAACACATCTACAGTATCAGTATTGCAGCACTGCCTGATCTTATCCGGTGGAAAGTATTACATGCAGCCAGTCAATGTCTGGAAAACGAAGCGAGCTGCCAGTTCCAATATATTCAAGGGAAGTCAGATGTGCTGTCCAGTGTTTACAGTGTGTGAACCAAAGACAAAGTGTCACCTGAAACCGTGTCAGCAATGTGGTTTTCCCTAATTAATGGTCATTCTAGCCTAAGCTTAAAGTTACAAGGTGGTGTTTCTGCTGCACAGTGCCATTCCTTATAAAAGTCACCTGCTCTCAGCTTAATGGGCATTTAACCTTTGGATTACTGATTGTTCCTCACGATTTGTCTGCATTTATGCAGGATTATTTTTCAGGAACCGAAGATTTACGCAGATATAGTCTGTAACCCTAAAACTGATTTATTTGCAGTCATGTGTGAACTGGAATATCTCAGATATTGATAATTGATAATGGCTGCTGCTGTTAATGTGGAGAAGCTGTCCAAGCTGGAGCTTTTGAAACTTCTAGAGAAATTCAGAAAAGAGAGAGATGATGCGATACACAGGGAAAGTTTCCTGAAAGAGAAACTGCGGCAGCAGGAGTGCAGGATGCAGGTGGCCGACGTGCTGAAACGCAAGCTGAAGAACATGTCCCTGGACAACAGGGTGCTGCGCAAGACCGTGAAGAGCCTGCGGGTGGACCTGGGCCTGGAGTCCAGCCCCAAGTTCCAGGGGAAGACTACCAGTGACATCATCCATGAACTGCACGAGAAGGAGCGCCAGTGCAGCTTCCTGCGAGAGAGGAACGGGAAGCTGAGCCTGGCGGTGGACAGCCTGACGTCCCAGCTGGCTAACAATGTTGCCTCCAAAGCCATCGTGGAGGAGGAGCTGCAGGCACTCCAGCAGAGCCTGAAGGACATGACCAACAACCAGAGGCGCCTACTCAAGCTCTGGGAGGACAAGAAGGTGCAGAGGGAGCAGCTGATGCTGCCGGCCATCCCGCAGCGAGCTGGCCACAGAGCCCAGTCCCATAGAGCCGTGCAGACCGACATATCCATAGGAGCTGCACACAAGCTGCCTCCGGGCTGCTTCGAGGGGAGACAATACCGATGGGAAGCCGAGAGGAATAAATGCGCTTTGGAGAGAGGGAGCAGCTCCGGCGTATAGCGCGATGGCAGAGAGAAAGCCTCCCTGCTGCCCTGAGCAGTGACCCGTGCAGAGACGCTCCCCCGAAATGTTTTTAGCGGTGTTTAATATTATGGCTTAGAACGACTTTCTGATTTCAAAACAGGATTTCAAAACACGGGTTCTTCACTAATCCGACCTATTAAAATAAACCATAAAACAAAAAGCCACATTGCGTCAGCAAGGATCATTTAAAAAAAATGTTCGAATTACTTAAATGACACTAATTTTTGTGCCAAAATAAACACGAAATCACGTATTGTGACGTTTGCGTGTATATTTTTTTGGTAAATGACTGGTAGATTTGAAGTTGGTTATCCAATTTACGCATTATACTTCATATATCTACAGGGCACGGTCTTGTAGTTTTCTGTTTTTATCCTAAATCTTAGGAAAGTAGCCTTTATACAATCAATACCTGGTTTTATCGAATGTAAATTATGTATATTGAATATTAAATGTATACTTTATTGTGATACTTGCTATTAAAACCAGTTCAATTTAGCGCAGATGTTTCATTTTGTTATGTGTTATTGACTTTAATTTGCCCTAAATGAATGTGCGGCGGTTTTTAGTCAGGCAGCGCCGCGGGCAGCCGCAAGTGCCGGGGTCCTACCGGCAGTCATAGGCGCGGGAGTCGCGCGCTCAGTAGGGACTGCCTTTCTGCTGGAGCAACGCTCACCACCGCGCTGCAATGCTGCCCTCGGCCCCGAACCACTGGTTCGTTCGTAAGGTGAGTGTGACCCACCGGCTCGTCGTTGGTTCGCCCGCCTTTGGCTGTATGAGGGGGCGTAGAATCGCACTTTAATGCCTCCGTGTGCGGTGTCAGAAAGCGACTGCAGGCATGCGCCCACAGTTAATTTGCCGCGGCGGTTATTACAGATGACAGGTTTTATGTCCGCTGACTGGGACGAAGCTGTACCGGGAGTCTGATGTATCCCGACCTTAAGCCGGCAGTAAGGAAAACAAAGACATGAGAGTAGCACGTGACGGCGGCGGTCGCGCATACTGCCATGTGACGCACCTACAGACCCTTACGGACTATGAAACGCGTCTCTGTTGCCTCTTCGAAGGTGATTTACTGGAGGTGGGCGGCCAGCGTGGCATGGTCCCTGCTGTTGCTGCCGGTGTGCACGGCGCTCTTCGTGCTCCTGAGCAGAGTCAGTCTCCTACATCCCATCGGATGGATCTCAGGTGAGCCCGGACCGGTGGTGCTCTTCAGGTCGCTGCGTGTTTCAGCAGAGTCCGCCTTTCTGACTGGTGCCCCTGTCATTGCGCTAAGAGGCTCTTCACCTTGCAGAGTCCTTTGGCCTCTTGTGCGGCTCCTACGTGATCTTCTCCCTTGTGCTCCTCTTTGGAGTGCTCCTGGTGGTCGGCTTCTTCAACCTGGAGTATTACACAGGTGAGTCTCCTGCATATGTTGGAGCAAGCGAGAGAGCACGGCTGGTCGGTCTCCCTGCTGGCTTGGCCCCTCTGACAGCCCCATCTGCCCCTCAGCGGTGCCCTCCATCCCCTGCACTAAGATCGCCCTGCTGGGGAAGGTGCTGCATCCAAGGCAATGCATTCACATGCTGGTGCACTGCATGCTGGGAATGCTGGTGGCCTGGTGCACGGCCGCCATGATCGGTGGTCGGTACCGGACCCTGTCCTGTCCATGTGCCGTGGAGGAGGGGTGAGTCCATTTCAGTAATTTGGATGAGGAGATGGCCCCTGGGGGTGTGCTCCCATCTCCCTGTGCGTGACGCTCTTTCTGCCCCCTCCCTCATGCAGGGCCGCCCCCGCTGCCTGTCTGAATGAGCTCCACCTGTTCTTCCTGCTGGCCGGGGGCTTCGTGGGTTACAGCTACAGCCTGCTGGGACTGCTCAACAACGTGAACTACATCTCCTTCAAGATCATTCAGGTAGCTGAGGCGGCGAGCGCGAGGCGGCGGGACGCCGGAGCTGCTGAGGCCTGCTGACACTCTGCTCCCTTTCAGCGACACAAGTACCTGTGGTTCCGGTCCTCACTGCTGGCGGTGGTGCGCTACAGCGCAGTGCGCGCGCTCTATGCCGTCAGGAACTTCTGTATCTTCTATTACTTTCTGGGTGAGAATCGGTTTCTGGGGACCTGGGGCTGGGGCTGGGATTGGGGTGTGCTGAACGTCCACCCTGACACCCACAGGATACATCCCCCGAACGTGGATCTGCAGCACGCTGGGCCTCCTTCGGGACAGGTGAGAGGCTCGCCTCCGCACGCTTGTGGTACAACATCTCCGCTGGTCCTGACCCCTGCCCCTCCCCCCCGGCCCAGCTCCCTGCACCGCCTGGACTCACTGGCTGGCTTGCTGGATCTCCCCCTGCTCTACCACCTGTGGCTGAGCTGCTGTTTCCTGCTGCTCACCTGGCATGTCAGCGTGCTCCTCTTCAGGATCTTCGTCAGTGAGGTCTGCAGCTTGTCCTGGGAGGTGCCCGCCTGCGGCCATCTCCGGGGGCCTCCTGGGAACTCTGTATTGAGGTGCAGTTTCCCACAGTGGCCCTGTTAAAGTGTACAGCTCCTTCTATATGATGTGTCTTTCCCTAAAAGGCTTACAGCTTCCCGGTTCAGTCGTCCTTCTCTGAAGATACCAGTCAGTGCCTCCCCAAAGTAATAAGTGAGAAAGAGCCGATGATCCTAAAGGTGAGCCGGGCCCTCTGTTGCGTGTGAGAGCCCTCTCTTGCTGTTGGACCTTTGGTTGAGGCCTGCTCTCTTGTCCTTACTCCAGTTTCTAGGCTTGCAGGACCTGGCTGTGCTGGCTCACAACTCCCCGTGCAGAAGGCAGGAGGTCTTCAGCCTTAGCCAGCCCGGTATGCCTGTTGGCCTGGCTACCGCCGTCTGTTAGCCGTGGGCTGTGTGATTGCTCCAATGACTGTGTGTCGCTCTGCGGCGCTACCAGGTGGCCACCCCCATAACTGGAACGCCATTTGCACGGAGTGCCTGGCCCTGCTCGGCGAGCTGACCCAGAGGCTTGTGCTGTACCAGGAAGTGCTGTCTTCCAACGGCAGGTCCTGGCCCCCGTCCTGCGGCAGTGACCACAAGTCCACCTCCTCAGAGACGTCTGGTGCGGTTTTCTGGGCGTGGTGCCGTGTCGGAGCTCCGAGTGTCCCCATATCCCAGTCGTGTGACCGGTTTTGGTGTCATTTCATGTCTACTTTGCAGAGAATTCTGGGACAGAAGAGCTTTCGCACACGCCACGAGTGAGAGCAGGGTTGAAGACCCCAGCCTCCTCGCTGTTCCGGGCCCCCGTGGGGGGTGCCGGTGGCACTCTGCCCTTCACCCCCGATCTGGACAGCCCCTTCTCCCCTGCCGTCACGCGGCGCATGGCCCCTGACCCCTCGTCACCCTGGCATGGCTCCGTGCAGAGCCCACACCTCATGCGGAGGGGTCCCAAGCTGTGGACCTCCTCTGCAGGTGAGCCAATCTTTAGAGCCTTGTGGAGCAGTTCTGCCCCGAGTCCGTTACAGACACAGGAAGGACCGCTTCTGTGATCAGTCATACACGGTGATCACTTACCTAGGAAGTCGGTTAACCGTAGTTAACCGTGTTTCAATATAAGAAGTAGCAAAAAAGCCATTTAGCAAAACCAGGGACTTGTTTCAAAAAGCAGGATTTCTTGCTTAGTGGGACAACTTGTCTGATTTAAAGTTCCCCAGTTTAAATGGTCTTTCTCTTCATTCACTTACATTTAGCACAGAACCCCTGAAATTCCACACGTTATCCAGCAAGAAATCAGGAAATCCTGCTTTCTGAAGCAGGCCCCAGTGCTAGTCATGTTCATTGTTGGCAGTGTCAGTCGATATCAACACTTTATGCGTTATTTTCCACATACAGACCAGGGTGTCCGCGGGGTTTTAAAAAGTATTAAAAGGTAGTAAATCACATAAGCAAAAATTAAAGCCATTAAAAAGTATTAAAAGGTATTACACACAAATTTACGAGGTATTAAATTTTAGATTTTTTTTTAACTACAAATTGTCCATTTGTGTGTTAAAGTTTATCTTAAATTTCTCGCAAATTATTTTAAATGTGGATTAGGCTCATTCCTTCATTCATAGATGATCTCTGTGATGCTGACGTCATATTGGGTGGTCGAGCGACGTCTTAAACAGTTTGCGTGCTGAAGTACATGTTGGCTGCTTACACTCAGAAAAGCTAAGTCATAGTCATCATGGGTAAGTGCAAATTTGCACGTAAGTGGTTAGAGGACCCAGCGTTTAAGGACTATGGAAGTAAATTAATGACAAAAGTCGTTGATGGAAAAAAAACACGTTGAATTACACTTATCGAATAAAAACGCATTGCATTAATGACGCTTTGAATTTTTGGGGACTGTAATTTAATATGTGCATACATTTAAACATTGAACATTTCAACTGAAAACATTTCAATCGTAATTTCATTGCTTAAATATTCAGTACAAAAATATTCTGCTTCCAAAATTCAGTTCCAAAAGATACGTAATTTAAAGTGCATGTTTATAATTCAACCACATGAATTCAGTTAATTTAATTTCGCCTAAAAATAAATTTCAAAAGAACAAATTCAGTTGAAAATATTCCATGTGTTTTATTCAAGCAGTAACATTCAGTCCTCTTATTTCTGCTTTACAATATTCAGTCCCGTTATTTTCGCTGTTTCAAATACGCTGCCACAATTTCAGTGGTTTAAAATACGATCCGAAATTCAACCCTCTACATCCGGGACTAGCAGGATGAGCCATAGATTGCCGATAGAGTTCTCTTCGGGAACCGCGATCAAAATGGAGCAAGCGATCAGTACAAGTACTGATTGACTTGGCAGCAGATTTTTGTTGATTATGTTATTTGTTTCTTGTCCTTTACTGGTCAATACGATAACTTATTGCAACCCCAACTAGTAGGTTTTAATGTAAGTAATTAGCTAGCTGCATTAATTATCACCAAACTTATCTTGCTAACGTAAGATGCCTGCAGGCAACTACAAGGTTTACACACCAAGAGTTTAAATCAGCGTGATAAATTTATGATAATGACAGTCAGCGCTCTCTTTTGGCATATGCGATGCACAACTCATAAATCAGGAATGCATGGATGAGAGCAGTTAGTCAACTGGTGCAAATCGACAAACTCGTCGAAGAAAAAGCCAAACAATTAATGCACTTGCCATGAATAGCCTAGTGGATAAAGATATGGACTTGTGACTGAAGAAGTTAAATGCAAGATGTTTTCAAAATCACAGTCACTAAATTTATTCTGTTGACCCATGTTCCCTATTTAAATTCTGTTGTACAGGCCAAAATTGTGTAACATTATAAATCTTTAAATCAGTTTGAAACTTGTCTAAAAACGGTTGGAACTCAATGCCGTGCGGGTTTAAAAAAATATTGAGAAAGTATTAAAAAAGGTATTAAGTGTTAAATTTAACCTCTGGATTTCTGTATATACCCTGACAGACACCGTAGCAACATGTCCACAGATAGCGGATGAACCGTACTGCGTGTACGATCGATTTAATGAAACACACATAAGTAAGCGCTAGTAAACAGTGCAAAACTACAGTTTTAATTTCACAGGTCGGGGGTGCAGAGGTTCCTCTGACTTAAGGGGGCGTTCCAGTTTAAATTTCCGACTAGGAACTCGGGATTTCCGACTTCAGAGTTCAAATGGATCCAGCATGGAGTAGAGCCTGTGACACCCAACACCGCAGAGGTGTGACTGTCGGAGGCCGTGCCTCAGGTGACCGGCCGTGTTTGATTACAGAGTCGCCTCCTGACTGCGTACTCCCAGAATCCCCTGCTGCTGTGCCCAGTCCACCTGCTGGAGCCCAGAAACCAAGCTTCCTCTCGCTCTGGTTCCAGAACCGGCAGGAGCAGGTTGGTCCCCCTTCCCCCTGGCTGGCTGGTCTGCACCCCATTGCTGCCTTTCCGCCACTAGTGATGTCTGCTGGAGTGAGATGCTCTGCTTACCTTTTCAATCCCAATTGTCTCGTCCAGGTTAAAGGTTTCTTGGCTAAGCGAGTGCTGATAATGTATTTGTTCAATAAGGTAAGGGGGTATGTTACCTGCCATGGGGATGCATGCAGGCATTACTAATCCAGCCCAGATCCAGGAGCCCCACTGCTTTGGTGTAATTCAGTTTGCTTCATTGGGGGTGAAATGTCTCTGCTGCTGTGGGGCTCGCCTCAAGTGGTCCTGAGAGATTCCACCATGTGACGTGTGTGTTGGTGTGAAACGGGGCTTGCATGTGTGGGTGGGGAATTCAGTTCGTTGACTTGAGCTCTGTGCCGATTACCATGCCTGTCTCCGTCGCTGGCTAATGATGCACCTCTTCTGCGTGATTAGCTCAGTGAATCCCTTCTACTGTTCTACCTCATAGTGCCATAGTATTCCTGTGTATGTCTCTTCGTCCAAATCCAACTGGAGGATACCTGTCCCAGGCTGTGCACATTTCAGAGGCACATTCTTCTGCAGAACACGGCAAACATTTTATGGACAAGTGCAGAATTTATGGAAGGGAAGCTCTTGGGTGTCTCTCAATACCAGGAACGCAATGATGGCCTTGTACTTTCGCTAACTTGGCACGCAATTAATCATGGGATTGGATTCATTCAGGGTGGATGCAACCGATGTTTGGGGCAGGACAAGAACGATATATGAGGATTTTTACCGTCCTCCGTTCTTCTGTTCTTAGTATTGGAACTGGACTTTAGCAATGGATGAGAACATAAAACGGGTATGCGAGAGCACGAGTATGGTCAAGTACGCGTATTGAGGAACAGCCCATGTCTCCGGTTGGGTTGTGCTGCTCTGCTCTTTCTGAATGTCTCGAAAGGCCTTGGAGATGTGTCCTCCACCATTTGGCTGTGCATAAGCAGAAAGTTCACTTTCAATTTTACTGCCGAAGAGCCCGTAGAAAGGTTAAGATTCTGTCATTTTTCTCACCAAAAAAAAAGGCAGACTTAAAAAATCACACTACTGCATCATTTCTGTTCTCGGATCAGATCCTACCAGTTACACTATGGTTTCTACAGGTCCGGTTAATGCCCTCTGCCAGTGCCACGAACGGCCAGTGACATTCCTTGTTTCCCCTGCAGCTTCCAGAAGCTTCCAGTCAGGCCCTCTTCGCTGACAGCCAAATGCACATCTGGGCACTGCAAGGTCTGAGAGCAATTTGTGACATTTTATCATGTCAGTTTATTCTAGCCCTGTCTAAATAAATGGTTGGATGTTTACTGCAGTCTCAAAGTTGTTTTTGTGTGTTTAGAAATTAAAAACCGCTTAGCCACTCTGCTACTTGGCTCTGCTGAAATGAGATGCAAGCTTGTCTGCTTTTATGCTGTGAGCTTTTTGCTCTTATCTTAATTACCTCCTTGTTTGTTAGTGCTGAGATCTGATGTGTTCTTGGGCTCTTAAGTTACACCCACATCTTACAGGAAAGTGTTTTTCTCAGCTATTTGACTGCCTTGTTCCTTCATGTTGGTCTAGGACTGTCTCATCTGGTAGCTGCCTCCTTCACAGAAGACAAGTTTGGTGTGGTACAGATTACACTACCCAGAATCCTTAGCACTATGCTGATGTTGCAAGAAGTAAGACTTTAACACACGAACAAACCCTCTGTGCAGGAGCCTTGCTTTTAGCTGCGTCTCGTACGTGTTTATGTTGGGATGTACTGCCTCTTAGGTCTCTCCTTTCCCCATCTCCCTTTCCTCCCTCCACTCAGGCTGTAGACAGGCACTTCAAGCTGCCTCACGCGTCCAGTAAACCCATGAGGTCCACCTGCTGCTTGGAAGATTCCACCTTCAAAATGCTGAGGTTTGGCCTGCGGTCGGCCCTGAAAACGGCGCTTTACAGAATCACTGGCACCTTTGGTCAGCACTTACAGTACGTCACCGTCCTACTCCTCTTCTGGAAGACCCCTGTCCACCCTTCTCCCTCTCTCTCTCTCTGATGTCCTGTCCCCCTGATGTCCACAGCGCAGTCCAGATGTCGGCTGAGCACCGGAAACGCCTTCAGCTCTTCATGGATTACAAAGAGTAGGGCAGCCATTTCCATCCTGGTGGGGCGAGGGTCCAGTCGCTGCGCTTCTGTTGGGGGTGCTGTCATCACACTGCTTCTCATGATGCGTTTGGGCTGCGGTGGCATCCTCGTACCTGTGGGGGCCTGACTCTGTGAGCTGGGTCATCATTCAGCCACCAAGACACAAAATCATGATTGTTTAATGGAAATGTACTGAAAGGGTGTTTACATTTTACACAAGTAAAATCAGTGCTAGATACAGCCTGCACTTTTTTTTTTTTTTTTTTACACTATTTCCGTACCTCTAAGAGCCATTGACTACGTAAAGAATTGCTGTGGTGCCTGATGCTGGCTGTGGGATTAGCATGTACATGGTTATCATTTAGCTCCTTGCACTGGGCTGGGTGGGTGCAGGTCTGCCTTCAGGGTTGCTTCCACTTCATGTTGTCCTGTTGCACTGTTAGCCTCCGGATGCACATTAAATACTGCCTTGTGTTTCCGCTTGCGTTGTCTCTACACCGAGATCCAGTGCGAAGTTCCCAGGATGTCACCTGTGCAGTTATGATGAAACACCTCATCTCCTCAGATACCCTAAATACTGCTGAAGCCATTACATGAGTAATTCCTAAGGCTTTGGCTGTTATGTAAACGGTGCAGTGCTTTTGTATGAGAGATTGAGGGCAGATGAACTGCAGTCCTCCATGGCTATAGGGGGTACTGTGTCACAGCCTTAATTACTGAAAATGAAAACGTATGATCTAGCATCTAGCTAATACATACTGGAATGGTTCCCCCCCCCCCCATACTGTATATATAATGTTTTGTTATGCAAGTTACTTAGAGTGACAAGCTGACTTTCTACATTCTTATTTTATATTGTAGATTTTGATAGTCTCATTATTAACGTATGTGCCGCAAACTTGTAAATATGAGCATCGCTCAACGCACTTTTCTTAATAAACGAATGAATGGTTGCGCTTTTTTAAAAATTTTTTATTGAACACTTTGAACCGTCTTCGCTAAATGTGTAATGTTGCTGATATATACACTAAGGTGCGTTTCACTGTAGAGGTGTATCGTGATGAGGAAATACGCTTGGTTATTGTTGGACAGCAGAGGTCGCTGTTGCGTTTAAAAAAACGACGCGAAAAATGGCATAAAACGATTACACTCAGCCTTGTGTTCCATATTGAGCACCGTTTAGCCATGTTCAGGCCGCACACTGATATATGGTGCACTTATTAAGCAACGGGAAGTCAAATCCACCCGAATGAAATAAGTGTACACATGCATAAACATTTTTGGCTACCGGAATTTGATAAATAAACAAAATAGTCCGCTAACTACCTCATTACAAGTTCGTGATCGCACTTCGATTTTATTTTATTCTTTTGTAAAATAAACAACATTGTCGGTTTACACAATAACGTAGTTATGTAAGAAAAAAATGCTGTTTGTGACGATTACCTTAAAGTATTTATTCATTGACGGTGCTTTAAATAAATTACTAAAGTAATATTTAGTGGTATTTTATATTTATAGCAGTGATTTGTGGCAATGGAGTGTTATATATTCTTGCCAATTGTTTTTCATTAAATAATCTACGTGTTTTAAGCGTGTTTTCAAATCCATACTGTCCAGATAGGCCTAAGTTTGGAGCATTCTACATTTTTTCCCCTCCCTTCAACAATTTTTGTATAAAAGCCACATTTCAATGTAATGTTCCGTTTTCTGTGTTTATGACTTGGATAAACCACTAGAAATGGGCTTTGTCATGTCAAAGCATAATGCTGACCGCAAGAAAACAAACAGTGCCGGTTTATAAAACAGATGAATACACGTCTTTATTCCGTATTTGCATGTGGTTTGAACGGGGTTCCTTTGACAATAATACAAAGCGACCATGGGAATCGCGTTCTACAAGTCCCTGTGTATTTCATTAAGGGACACTATATGATTTTAAAAGCATGTTCCATTTTTGAAATATGTGCCCAAGTTGTGACATTCCCAGTACAGTTGAACTGCTTTAAAATTACACAGACCCTCGCACGTTTCACCTCATAAAACCTCATTTCATGGCACCGAATTTATCATGATTTCGTTGTATTGTTTTCAATATTGAGTTGTCCTTAAAGTTAATTTCTGCTCCTTCAATATTTAATTCTATGCAAACTGTTTTAAATAAAAAAAAATCAGCACCTAGTCTGCAACTAACTTTTAAAAGCACGAAGTTTAACCGCAGATCTGTAAGTAGACCTTAACCCAGCACACCTGCACGTGTATTCCGTCTTTGGAGCAGGGAGCCGCTCCATGCCTCCTCGCGTGAGCGCTTTTCCAGAGCCCTCCTCCTACCCACAGCTGGATCCGCCCATTTCCACCCGTGCATGCACATAATTGGTCCGCAGAAGTTTCGTTTCTTTCTTTCTACGATTTTAGTGGACGAAGGACATGTCATTAAGCGAAAAAAACGCGTGCTTTGATTGTTGGAAATTGATGCTCCCAAAAACTAAGGATGATTACTGTTCAAGCTGGAAAGGATGCTGTGGGTAAATACGCAAAACATTTGCATGCTTTTGGAACAAGAAAACTTTTATTGCAGCTGGTCCTCTTATCTTTCTCATTTTTCTGTAACATCCAGACGTCTAATAAGGTAAGTTTCCTTCAGAAAATGAGTTGTTTTTGGAAAACTCGCGTTTTTCTGGTAATATTAATATGCCAATAAAAACGTCCTGATGTTTTCGATGTACTTTTAACGGGACGGTGCTGATACTGATTGCAATTCCCGGACTCCTGTATAATCTGTAAAACATGTCAAAGCGAAAATGCCAGTTTAACTTTATGCTCTGCACCATCTGGGCTTTGGACATGACAGAGACTTATCACTAATTACAATTTTGCTCACATATAACAGCAGACAGAAGCTCCGCGGCGGTTGCTGTCTCAAAGAGTGATTTCAAAGAGTGACCTTGCATACAGGAAAATCTGAAATTCAGATGCAGAAATCGGCGGCCGCCTTCGGGATGCTCGGCCAGCATGAAGCCCCCGCGTCCGTTCAGCTTCCCGGCCTCAGTTTCTCCGTGTACAGTGTCAAGAGAAGCGGGGAGGGGGCTGCCGAGTCCAGTAGGAACTCCGGCGACAACGGCAGCGCCAAGAGACCCCCTGCTCCGTGTGACAGCTACCCCCAAGCGCGGAAAGCTGCCCGGGCCGCCTTCATCCAGGACGCGTCGCAAGGTGAGCCCGAGCCGCTCCGCCGGCCGTCCGTCATTTCCAATCCCTTCATCTTTCTCAAACTGTACTTAAAGTATGAGAGCCTACAAACTTTAAAAAAGTATTAGAAAATTGTAAAGCAAATAACACGCGACAGTATTTTATGAGCTATAATAAACATTCTATGAATTCATTCGGATCTTACCTGTAAACATCGGAAGTGGTATTGCCTGTCCTGGGGCATGGGGCGTTCACTGTACAGTTATTGCATATAAACACCTGAAAATCATTAAGATAGTGTATGCCAAACGGAAATGACATTAATATCATTACAGTGATATTGAATTCATTGATTTTTGCGTATGTAAACACGCACGCACTCTGTATGTGTTACTTAGTTTCACACTTAAGCATCTAATCTCTCCCGGGTCCTGACCCAACCTCCTGCCCGCCTTACACATTAGAAAGATACAAGATAAAAGCTTTTTCGGCTTATTTTTGGCGTGAGAGAGGATTTTGCGAAAGAACTTTAACACCCTAATAATCTCTGTTAGCAATTTGATTACATTTACCAGGGTTAATGAAAGCCAGCGGTTCGTGATTCAGTCATGCCGGATTAATGAAAACAATGGCTTTCTGCAGCCAGCTCAGCACATGGGTTGCGAGCCGGCGTTAAGCGGAGTTTCAGCCAGAAAACAAACGCTTTCTGCTGGAGTGACTTTCTACAAAAGCGGGGAATCCCTGAACATATAGCCCTACTGCAGTAGGGGCACGTTTTACTAAGGTTCATATTTTTATATTGATTTATTTATTTACTTTTATTAAATCTGTGGCCTGTGCTACGAAGCGTTACTGGCTTATCGGGGTAACTTGTCGGATTTAAGGTAGTCTGGGCAAAATGTAAGCGAACAAGTATGAAGTCCATTTAAACTGTGGTACCTTAAATCCAACAAGTTACCCCGATAAGCCAGTAACCCCGCTTCGTAGTACAGGCCACTGGTGCCCTTTCCGGTTTCTTGAACGTATATATACGGGCCGGTAAAGTCTACGAGGCGCCCGGTGCTTCGAGCCCCGACCCAGCAGGCACCTGTGCTCTTCCCGACACACGCAGATTACACAAATACAGCCCTGGGCATTAAAGCCGCTTTAAATCACACTAAACACGGGGGTTGGTTATGTAACTTTTAATTACATATTTTAGTTTTTAAATACAGCTGCAAATGACACCAAACATGACCAGTTATCATCGAGCTCACTTCAAAAGTTTTCCCAAGTAAAGACCAAATTTATTTCACCTTCGGACATTTTACTTTATCTTATTGCTGTTTTTCAAGTGACATTTCAGTCCGGACCGACATTAAAACAGTCATTTTTCTATTTACTTTAAAAACAAAGTTGTGCTTGTTTTTTAATAACTGGAGCCACTGTTTATTTAAATGTAATTATTTATAGCCAGTTTGGGATATATGGTTTTAATAAAATGTATTTTTATTTGCATTTAAATTGACTTGGGGTTTGAAAAGCGGTTCCAGGTTTTCTCAGAGCCGGCGCGTAAAGAAGCTATCGTCTATTATGTCATATGCTCTTTTGAATCGAAAATACTACGTAGGCCAATGTAATATGTAATACATAAGTATTACCTCTTAATGGTTGTTAATATTTCTAAACGTACGTATTACCAGTATATATTTTACAAAGGTAAATATAAAATTATAGTGTAGATATCGTATATTTTCCGTTTTCCGATGAAGGACTGCAGATTTGTTAAAATATACCCTTGACACAAGATTATCACCTGCTGACACAGCGAATCCTTTACTTTAATCTGTTAATGTTCATATAAAAAATAATTGCGAAATGTATCTACGGGCTCTTATCTGGTATAAGTGTGAGTCGGACGCCGTATACCAGGTATAATCGGCTATTATTTATTTATTGGTTATTTTTCCCGGACCTTGCCGAGGTCACGCCGAGTAAATCCGCCTTCTCTGCGACGGGGCCCGTGTTCTTAAAAGGCCGGCGGTCATGTTGTTGAGTGATAGCGGTGGCGTTACTCCCTTGCCCGAAATTATACTTATACAAAGCATATTAGTAATTACATGTGCCTTTTGTGAGGGGCAGCTTGGCGGATTTGATTATTATTTTATTCCAGACGAAATGTGAGCCATATGTGTGTATGGGAATACCGCATTTATATGCTTTCGCATCGTAATTGGACCTGCAATGTCGCTGCTCTTCCAACTAAAATATATAATTTGAACATCTATGTATTTTTCAGCTTCAACACATGAGAGGGTTGTAATTTTGTTAATGTTACTTTTGTAATTATTATTATTACTTTTAAAGAAACATGCTTTTGTGAGGTCAGGACCGTGTCAGCTGCTACGGCCGGCTAGTCCGGGTTATTTTTCTTTAGCTTTGCCCTGTAAGTGCTGTGGAAACACCTTTCAGTCTGAGGCTCTGCTGAACAGCAGCAAGTCACTGGGCTCAGCCCCCTGGCAGTGATTCCATCAACGCCCAGCCGCTGCCCGCATGTCGGGGTGACAGCGCATCGCCTCTCCCTCCCTCTCCAGAAATGCTCCGAAATGCGAGGCTGCTCCGCTTTCTCTGCATTCTTCACTTTCTCTGCAAGCGTGTTTTTCACGCAGGAGGTGCCATGCTCCCGGTGGCCCCCCCTCCACTCTGCTGGGCTGGGCCCCGCGCCGCCGGATACACGCGCCTCTCGTTGTGGGGGCTCGTGGTCTGTGGACAGGCAAGATGTCGTGGTGACCGACATCCCCAATAACCGGGATTAGCCTCGTGGCACCTGCATGGTGCATCATGGGGGAAAGAGCAGAATAGTCACTATGGCTCCTGAAAAACTGTAGCCCTCTCGTGGTGGGGGGGGGGGGGG